CTATCTTCAATGTTGCGCGCGCGCGCTTCCCCGTCCAATTCAAGCCCCTCATCCGGCTACTACGCGCCATGACCGGCATGGGCTTTCTCGACACAGATCCGCTTTGCGCCGAAGGTTCGAGCCGACAGTACCGACCCGCCTCGCAGGCGGGCGTCCGCGACTCCTGTGCCCGGCACGTGTTCTACTACCTGGACACACTGTCCAGCTACGCCCAAGTCATCCCCGTGTCCAAAACTACCGGCGCCGGCGCCCTCTACGAGCGACAGCCGGAAAGATTCTCCGGGGGCGGGAGACATACACACACCCACAACTACGTCACCCAGCGCGAGATCCGGCTGCCCGGAGGATCGAGCTTGCGGCCGGGTACTACCGGACCGCTGATGAACACCGACGGCGGAGATATGCTCGTCGTCTGCTGGCAGCATGCGCATTCGGGATGGAAGATGGTTCTCGAGGTCTTGACGCACTACGTGAACAAGCGCCAGGCGCAGTCGGGTGCGTACCAGGACGTGTCGTTCGCGCGGCATCGGCAGCAGCAGCAGGGCATCACTACGCTGAAGGTGGAGGACGTCGGGATCGAGGCGGATGGGAACGGAGTGGACGAGACGGTCGTGACCGAGGCCTTGAATCTCGTTCAGAGCCTAATCCAGCACAGCCCCGAGCAGGCGGAGCAGCTCATGGTCGCTCTGGAGGCTGGGAACCCGGTAGTGTCGCACGTCATGGCCGAGTCGCAGCCTCCGGATCTGGTCCAGCTCACGACGACCATTCTCGAGGAGGCCCTGTCTGCATCATCTTCGTCCGGCCGCCAGCAGACGCAGATGATCACATCAGCCATCGGTGTGCTGTCGGCTATCCTGGCGCTGCCCCGCTACTCCCATCGGGTCTGGCTGTACATCCGCTCGACTGCGGCACTCTTTGGGTCTGGTAGCGGCGCTGCGGGATTCGCGACGCATGGATTGGTCGCCGAGCGCGTCAGTGGCCGGTATCCCATGACTCTGGCGCTGCTCCACCTCGCGCACCAGCTGACGGTCCAAGCCTTCGCGTCCATCGTACCAGATAACGTGAAACTGCAGAATCTCAAAGAAGAGGTGCTGATGCGTGTGGTCCGGTTCCTGCACACGGAAGTTTGGCTCGAATATCCCGGGTGGCGATATGCCGTCAAAGCAGAGAGCTTTGATATCGGGCGGCTGATCATGGCGGTCCATGGAGTGATCTTGGAGCACGCTGCCCTTGTGGGTGGCCCCTCGTCTACCGTTTTCTGCGGATACTGACTATCTACGCTTCCAGCAAAATGCACCGTTCCCGACCCTGCTCGAGACGATCCGTGATCTCTGGCTCTGGAAGGCGACGACGTCGACGATCAGCCCGCTCATTTCGTTCATCGCGACCGGTGTCTCGATGCTGTCGGCGCTGTACGAGGCGCGCCTGATGAACGACGTCCGCCGCCTGGTCCTCTCGCTCTCGACGCAGCTGCGCACCGCGCGGCTCGCACTGGAGCTCCGCATCGCGTCGAAATCCACCGCGATCAGCCTGCTCGAGCAGGCGTTCTGCAGCCGAGTCACCGCGTCCTCATCCTTGTCCACGTCCTCGTTCAGCACGAAAACGGAGCCGATCGACGTGCTCGCGTCGTACGTCAAGAACCGGATGATAGGGACGGCCGTGCCGCTCGAATCGACGCGCCTGCTCACCGCCATCTGCCTCGCCTTCTCGCTCTCGTCGCCGGCACCCGGCTCGATCATCGGCCATGTGAACGATGCGGAGGCGACCGTCGGCGCCTTGGTCCGCATCGTGCGCGATCCGTACGAGGAGATGGCGCTGCGCAGTGCCGTCTGGCGCCTGATTGCGGTTGCGGTGCAGCGCGACCCGGCGCTGGGCATGCTGTTCGTCGTCGGCAAGTTCGTGACATTGGGGGGGAAGAGGGACTACAAGGGAAAGGGCAAGGAAACGGAAAAGACTGCGGGGGACGACGACGACGCGGAGGAGGAGAAAAGCGCGTTGAGCGTCGCTGCGAACATGCTCGAGAGCGGGAGCGAGCTGTGGGAACTCAATCCACAGCTCCTCGCATGCGGGCTCCGTTTCCTCGAGATCGTGTGGCAGCGCGGCCTCGAACACCGGGCCGCCCTCGACGCTCTGCGGCAGGACGCCGGGTTCTGGGAACGCATGGCCGGGCTGGCTACCTCGGAGCTCGGGCCGGTCCCGGAGTACACCCATCTCGGGCCGAACGACATGACTGACAACGACGACGACGACGACGACGAGCAGCAACAGCATTCCTCCGCTCAGCACGATGCCGTGGCTGCGCATTCGTACCGCACGGTCGTCAGGGCTTATGCGCTCAAGATCTTCGCGCACGACATCGCGATGGCGAGCGACAGCCAGAAACCACTCAGCTACACGAAGATCGAGCCGCGGCTCAAGTCGGAGGACGATTTCACGGATCTGATCGCCGAGTCGTCGCCGAGCTGGTACGACCCCGCGCTCTACGACGATCTGACGGAGCAGCTCCGAAGCAAATGCCCATCCCTGACGCTGGAGGATGTGCGCGCGCCCGACGAGGAGTCGCGCGACTACGGCGACAACTTTGCCTTTGACGTGGCCCTATTCCGGACCCGCCTGGAAGCCTATGCGCAAGCCAAAGACCCGTTGCTGAGCGAGCTGCAGGTGGTCAACATGAACCTGTCGCTGACACATGCGCAAACAGCCTTGACCGAGTCGTGCAGCGCCTTGCTGGGGCGCTGTGTGCCCTTCCTCCGCAGCAGCGCGCTGGCAATGGCCAGCGCCGCGTCTGTCTCGTACGACATCGCGGCGGAGAGGCGGTCAGGTGACCTCATGGCGGCGATCCACGGCACGCGTCTGTCGCTGCTGCTCGCCCTGCTCGAGGTGGCGTGGTTCGACGGCAAGGACTCGTCGACGGCTTCGTTTATCGAGTTGGTGGAGAACGTGCACGGGATCATCCGCAACGAGGCGCAGCCGCCTGCCCAGTCGTTCGTCGGGGAGACCTCGACGCCGTTCCACCGGACCCTGCTGCTGATTCTCTACTTCTGCGCACGCAACTGCGGCATCCTGATAAATCGACCGAAGGCGCTCAATGCTGACCAACGACTGAAGATCACCGCGCTGGTGGATGCTACGTTGGCGCTGGTGATTGACGCGCTGAGCGTCGCATTCGTCTCCGGCCAGAGCCGCGGCGCGGATCCCGAGCTCGACCGGGATATGCAGTTTCTAGTAGCTGTGTTTGAGCAGTGTGTCGTGAAGCTGGAGACGTCCAGCACGCTGTGGCTCGTCAAGTGCCAGGAAACGGACCTCATCCGGATCAGTCTCGAGCTGTTGACGCGGCTCGATCTGTCGGGGCTGTCCGACCTGAAGCAGCCGCTGTACGTGCCCCACGTGCTGCTGTTCCACATGACGCTTGCGGCGATCCCCTCTGCCGCCGAGCGCTTCGCCAGCGCCGGTGTCCTCTCCGCGTACTCGAACAACTCGCTCAGCGCAGCGCTCTCCGCCGGCGCCGTCGATGTGACGCTCTCCGAGTTCCCCGCACAGCGCAGTCCGGCGCACGTGACATACTGCACGATGCTGTCGGTCGTGGCGGGGGTGATCACGTCCCTCGGCCGGTGTCCACAATTCGCAGCCGAGGCGAGCGGCATGGTGCTGACATTCGGCGAACAGGTCGCGCGCGCACTGAGCTGGACGGTGGGCGATGCGATCAGCCTGGGTGCGCTGGAGGAGATGGAGGCCGTCGTGGCTGTGTTCAGCGCCATTGCGGAGAGCGGGTACAAGGAAGTCGAGGTCTTCTCGCGGCCCGGGCTGCGGCTGCTGCAGCAGCTCAACTACGCGATCACGCACCCGAACCACCTCGCGACGCTGATTGAGCCCATCACGGTCGAGGAGCGGGCGTGTCTCGAGAAGGATGCCGCGGGCATGGACCCGCTGAAGCGGCCGCTGGTGGCGCATCTGATGCACCGGCTCTTCCGGCTGTCGAGTGTGGTCCTGAGCACGCTCGTGACGTCCAGCCGGGCCTACAGCGTCTTGGCCTCGAGCGATGCCGTCGGCGAGGCCCTGGTCGTTCCCGTGCGTCGATCCGTTCCGTCTCCCACACCCGCCCGCGCTGACCCCCCACTCACCAGCACACCAAAATAGTGCCCGGCGAGATCGCGTCGATGGGGACGCTGCTCGAGCTCGGGAACACGACACTTGACCTGCTCAAAGACCTCACGGCGCGTCCCGCCGGCCAGACGCTGACCCCGGGCCTGCCCCCCACGGTCGCAAGCCCGGTCGACGTGAAAGACGCCGCGCTCGTCGCCCGCGGGACCCTCGAGGCCGTGCTCCTCTACGCCGCGACCCAGCTCGCGCTGTGGCTCAGCAAGCCCGACCCCGACTTCGAGCACGACGAGACGATGGAGGCGCCGCCGCCGTCCGAGGCGGAGAGCGCCGGCCGCCGCATGCGCCGCGGCGTCACCGCCGAGATCACCACCGATCTGCACGCGCTGCTCAACAAAGCCAAGCTCGTGCTCGCCAAATGCGACGCCTTCGAGCAGGGCGTCGACCTTACCGGCGTGTTGTCCACGTTCATGCTCGAGAGGATAGGGGTCGCTTAGTCTATACCGTGGCTTATATGTATAATGTGATGTGTTTTTGTTTTTCCGTTGAAAGTGGCACGGGTGGCCCAGATGAAATATCTCGTTAGGCAGGTGCTCGACTCGAAAAGGGAAGGGGTTTCCCTCCTTCGACGTCTGTGAAGGGCAACATTTGAGAGAGCACACTCTTCCTGTCGTCCGCCCTAGTACAGCTCTCTCGTGCAGAAGTTGGAGCACTTGGGCTTGCGGCTGAATGGATTACATCCCACAGAGTGTGTCGAACCGAAACTTTCGCTACGCACCAAACCTGGCGCAAACTCTCTCGACTTCGGCAATTTTCGGATCAGATCTCCGGAAGGATCCGCTTCCACTTTACCTCAGCCAAAGGCACCCGATGTGGCTGGAGGCCCGCCACATCACATCGAGTCAGTACTTAACACCATCCGAGATTGAACAACCGCCCTCCGAGCGCACGGAAAGCGAGTACGTACAACATATACAAAAGCGTAATAAGAGAGAGAGAGAAAACAGTATATACACAACGGCGAGGACTTCGTACAAGAAAAAAGTCGATAGCGTGGTCATTTCCGAGGAGCCGTATAAGATAGCCGTGGAACATTCATCATCATAAGGGATCATCAATTCAGTAGTCTCTGATCGAGCGACTGTCGCCGTCCCCGTCGTCCTTCAGGCCGGCGGAAGGATCGTCGACGGGCTCCAGCTCAGCCTCGAGCTGCTCGGGCTCCGGGTCGACGGACATCGGCAGGTTGACGAACACCACGTTCGGTTTCGCGGGGTCTTCCTGCCAGGTCAAGCCGTTCCTGGGGACGCAGTCTGAATGAGCGAGCGAACGGCAAGAAAAAAGGACGCAGACGCACCCGTTGAGCGCATCCAGCAACCGCTGCTTCACGAACCGCCCTTGGAGCGTCTGCTCCATCGTCACGCGCAGTGTGCCCCGGTTAGGCGAATCGTGCGCCAGATCTTCTGGGGTCGTGCCGGCCGGAGGGACCGGCGTGAGCAGCAGCCTCTCGAGCCGCTCCTCCGTCTTCTGCACAGCAACTTGCGGCTCCAGTCCCGCCGTGTCCAACTCGTACAACGATGCCGGAGGAAGTGTGAAAACTAAAAAAAAAAATGTGTCAGAGAACGACTCGAAACTCGTGCATGAGACACACCTCCAACAAAGGCACCATCAGCCTGTGCGCTGAGCCGCGCCAGCTCCTTCTCCGCGTGCTCGAGCTGATCTCCCGTTTCCGTGAAAATCCCGGACGACGGCAGGCAGCTTTTGCGCTGTTTCGTGAGGGTCGCGATCTGCGCCGTCAGGCTCAAGGCCTCTCGTCGCAGAGACAGCGCATCTCGCACAGACGACAGGGATGACGGACCGGCCTCTTCTTCCTCGTGCGGCTCGAGGGTCATTTCCGGTTCCGGAATGGGAACCGGATGCATATTATAAGGCTCGGGATCGGATCCATACAGGTCCTCGAATGATGGAGGCGGCGTGCGAGTCGTGTAATCTTCCGTCACGGGACGCTGCAGACCCGAAGGAGGTGTCGATGACGGCAGCCGCTCAACGATTCTGGCAGCAGGAGCTTCGAACGGGTTCGCAAGTTCAGCGGTCGGCGATTCGAGAGCTTGAGAGTCCCGGGACTGGGGCATGGGGATGGGAACGGCTTCGTGATCTTCGGCAGGCTGGGGAGTCACTTCTGGCTGGACAATTTCTTTCGGCTGGACGATCTCTTTCGGCTGGACGATCTCTTTCGGCTGGACAATCTCTTTCGGCTGGACAATCTCTTTCGGCTGGACAATCTCTTTCGGCTGGACAATCTCTTCTGGCTGGACAATCTCCTCAGCGACAGCATCCACATTGGTCAGATCCTGTTCCCGGGGTCCAGCCGCAATCGTCGAAGCAGCATCGGACAATGCACCCTCCGCAGGTTCTTCCTGTGGCGGCGTCGGCGGATCAACCTGCTCCCACTCCTCTTCGAGATCGAGGGGCGGCACATCAGGGATCACAGGCATCCACGGCGAAGGGGGGACGTCCTCGTCGAGCCCCGACTCGCTGGTCCAGTCGTTCATCGACTCCGACGGCGTAGGCGGGAGAAACATCGGGATGTGTCTCGGCGAGTTCTTGGGGGTGACGTCCGCGCGCTCGAAGTCGATCAACCGCCCGCCCATGGCTTGCACGACCGTATCATCCTCCATGTCCGACGGAATTTCCACGGGATTCGTCGCAGAGGGATCGTCCGAGTAATCGAGAGAAGAAGTGGGCGAAGTCGATCGCGAAGTCGCCGTGAACGTGTACGTGTCCTCAGACGTCCGTGTCTGGAGAGGAATAATTCGTGAAATCGTGATGTGCGAGGCCAGCGACGGCGTCGTCACAGAGTTGCTGGAAACGCCAGGAAGAGTGCGCACCGCCGTGCTCACTTCAGAAGCCGTCTCAGACATCCCGACACCAGACAGATGGCCCGGAGGAGATTTTCGGCGTCTGAAAGAAGGGGGCGTCGGTGCCGGTGCCGGAGTTACAGCCGTTTCAGCTGTTACGGAGCTAACAGAGGACGATGCGGACGAAGACGCCGAGGACGTCCTCGACCGCGCCAGCGACGTGTAGATCGATTCTGTCGGCGCAAACGACACCAAGGATTCCGTGGGCGCGAACGTCACTGTCGGCGCCGCCGACGTCCTCGTGCGAAAGGAAGCAATACTGCTGGCCGCGCTGGCACTCGACATGACGGTGGGCGCACTGGCAAACCGGACCGTCGAGCTGCGGCTGCTGCTGCTGCTGCTACGGCTGCTTCGGCGGCGCCAGAAAGCAAGATAGCGCCATGCGTGATAGGCATCCCGTCGGACTGCGCTCCAGTGCCGCCGCAGGCCCCAGTCGGACCACACGCCGGGGGCGACGTCGGCCATTACCATGCCCAGGGTGCTCCAGAGCAGGACGATCATCAGCTTCGCGAAGCTCTCCGTGAAGATGAAGTCGACGAAGAGGCGCACGCCGTAGGCGAGGTACGGGTCGGAGGATGCAGGCGCCTTGTTCATGTAGTGCAGGAGGATGACGCCCTCCCAGAGCCCGACGAGCGTGGCACTCAGCCTGACATCGTGGAACGTCGCGGCATCGACGACGACGCGGACGAGCAGACCTGCGCAGATAGAGTACACGCCGTCCATCGCGTGGTTGCCCGTCCTATAGCGCAGGACGTATCCGGGAATCGTCGAGACTGAGCTCGATCGCGATATTGAGCTCGTGGCCATGGATCGCGTGATAAGATGGCGCCGAGACGAGGCTCGAGACGCGGAGGGTGTTCGTGTTCGTGATTCGGGAATGTTGCCTCGGGTTTTGCGGCTATAGTAGAAACGCACTCAGCACGAGGGAAAAAAGAATGACAGAAAGGAAATGAGGTCGCCCTAAATCGGTTCCCACTCACGTTGTATGATGTATATCCCTCGACTCGGCTCGCTCCTTCGATCTAGAGAATGAGTCCGAATGTTTGAATGTCCGAGGACTGGATGGTGTGAGGTTTCGCGGAGGAAAAGATGCGGAGAAGAAGAGGCTTGGGGAACGTGGTAAAGAGAAAGAGGGTGGCTGTGCACAATGCGGGAATTCGTGACCCTGTGCCCTGATCCGGCATCAAATTTTACTTCCGGTGAAGTCCGCGATCGATGCTCCACGACCTTTTCCATATTTTTGGACTTGAGGAACGACGTGGTGGGAAGCTGAGAGAAACGGCCATTTGCGAAAATGAGAAAGAAGTCAAGCTGTAGCGCTTCTGCTTCTTGCTGCCAAAACCCAAAGCATACATTACTCGTACAAATACTGCGAAGGTCAGAAGCAGGATAAGGTATATTCTACAACCTGAAAAGAACCCGCTGCAACGCCGGAACCTTAGACACATCCACAACCGCAACCTGCTGCGACTCCAGAGCCAATGCCATGCGATCGATCCCCTCTCCATTCTGCCAGTCAATCTCAAAAACACCTGGTTTTTCCACGCCAGCACACCAGGACCAGACACGGACTCGTTGCTGCAGCACAGCCTCGGAATGTATTGCACGGGACAAGCTCAGGGGACTCACTCGGATGTCGTACACATGGACCCACCCGTCTCCACTGCCAGTCGCCATCAGATTGCCGATCGGGTTGAACCGGAGGGTGTAAATGGGGCGCTTGTGGTCCGAGAAGGTGACGATGCATTCGCCAGTCCTGGAGTCCCACAGCTTGGAGGAGTGGTCGAAGGACGAGGTGGCGAGCACTTCGTTTATACCGGCGGCCGGATCTGGACACCAGAACGCAGCGCTGACTGAATGTGTGTGCCCGGCCAAGTTGAGAAAGTTGGGCTCCGAGCCATTTTCTCCTGGTACACAAATCTCGTTGACTGGCCAGATGCGCACCGTCTTGTCATCCGAGCTGGACGCTAAACGTGTTCCAGCGGGATTGACTTTAATTTGATTGACTTCTTGTGTGTGCCCGCTATCAATCAATACAGGATGAGAACATGAATGTGGAAAGGAGAAAAATAGTGGGTAAAGAAAAAAGCTCACCGCAATGTCCGAATAGGTTTATCCACTCCAACTTGCATAACTTGAATGATGTGATCTGCGCCGCAACTGGCGAAAATGCTCTCCGAAATCCAATCCACATCAAGGCAACAATCTGTGTGGACAGGATACTGCGTTTTCAACTGCTTATTCGCCACATCCCACAGACAAATCGAGCCGTCGAGACTGGCTGACAGCAGCCATTGTCCGGTGGGCGAGAATCGGACCGCGTAAAGAGATTGGCGATGCTGATTGTGCGTAAAATACACTTCGCCTTCAGAAGAACAGACACGCAGCAGAGAGTCCAGGGAGGCAATGGCGACTAGCGTTCCCTCAGGATTCCAATGCAGAGCGGTAAGATCGGTCGAGTTAAAATTTTGAGTTTTGCACGGTCCACTAGGAGGCGGTTCCGCAAAGTAAGGCGAGTCCGCTGGTGGTGGTTGCGGGAGATTCCATAGATTGACCATCGTGTCTTTAGATCTGGGAACGACTTTGAATTTAAAATCAAGAGGGAAATGCAGCGCCTTACCCAGTGGCCAAAATCGATTTCTTTGTAGGGTTGAATGCACATACAAATACCTGTCAAAAAATTAGAAAGAAATGCCAAAATGACTCTGATATGAACCAGCCTCAGTTTGGTGGCCAGCCAACATGATGATGGATCGAACATCCGTTTCGGAGTTCTCCGGACCCTGGGTCCTTTTGGAGGAAGTAGACGCCGATTGATCCGAAGTCACAAGCGCTGAATGATCCGACGTTCAAGATTTCGCCACCCGCACCAGATCTCAAAAGAGAGAGAGGAACACCTACGATACTGTTTCTGACTGTTCCCTGCGCCCTCGGAGGATGTGTCTTGCCGCAGCCGTTTCTCCGCAGGCCCTTCAGGAGCGGAATGGCTCGCCTTGCGCTTGCCCTCGGTCGACAGGCGCGTATACGACGACGCCAGCGCCTGCGGCATCACCCGCGTCACGAGCGAGCAAACATGCGCGTCAAGGAGAGAGAAATTCGCTTTGCAGTTCCGGCTCAAATTATCCGCCCGCCAGTGCGCCTCGACTTCGCGGTAGAGCAGCGCTTTGCTGAGCAGATCCACGAGCTCGCCCCGGGGGATGTGTTTGACGAAGTTCTGCGACTTTTCGAGATTGGCTTCCATGCACAGACTGAACGCGGTGTGCTTGAAGCCTGAGAAAGTAGACAGATCGGCTTGCGTGGCCGGACGAGAGCGAAAAATGCCGTCACCTGAGTCGACCAGAAAAGAGTAGATGAGGCAATTGACCTCGTCTGCTGTAATCCGTATCGTCGGAATATTGTCAGTCATAAAAGGAAATGTACGGTGAACGAGGGAAGAACGAGAGCGGTGGACTGTTGTGACGTGCTTGCCTGTTTGATGGGTTGATCGCCGTAGGCTTGAACATGATCCAAACATCAATGCACGATTCCAAGGCAGCTTTCATGCAGAAATCGATCTAGAGAGATGAAATCTGAGTCAAATCAACGATCTAGTCTCGGGCGTGAAGCGGGGCGCCATCCACACCCATTTTCCAGTTCTCGCGCCACTTTCCTAGCCAACTTCAAAATAAGTTTGGCCGTGTGCAATATTCTATATGCACTTTCAATTTGGTTGCTCCCTGTATTATTTCGAAGAGTGTGGTAAACTGTGTGCGCGTGAGCTTTGCCTCTCGCGGCACACACGGCGGCTCCATCAGTCATACCTGATCGCCGATCAATTCGACGTCAACGTCATCGGCTCGTCCGCGCCATTAGCACTTCTCCCGGCTCGGACATGGAGATGGACGACCTCGACGATGAATCTCCTAGTAGTCCGTCATCCGCATACGCCCCATCGCAGAACGAGGCGCTCCAAATGTTTCTCCGGGGTAAGCCGCGCTATCACTGCCGCCTGATCTCCCGCTCACGAACCGCGCGGCCTGCAGAGCTATTGGAGAGCACCGCGGGGAGCTCGATCGACATCGAAGGGCTGTCTTTCGAGGAGCTGCAGCGCAGGGTGACGGAGGCGCTGAAGCGGGAGGAGGAAGAGGGGACTGGGGAGAACGAGTGGGAGGACGAGGATGAGGACGGGTGGGAGGATGAGGATGAGGGCGATGAGGTCGATATCTTTGACGAGATGCGCCACGAAGACGACGACGCCGACTACGACGATAGTGCATACGCTCCCCCTGTCTCTGCGCATCGGCGGGACCGCGTCGCGTATCAGAAGTTCTTTCCGACTATCACAGAGCCGCAAGCAACCGGACTCGAGCTCCTGTATAGCGGAGAATTTGGGAGGGTCGGAAACAAATGCAAGATACGCAGAGGTCCTCTGAGGGTCGCGAGGGAGATTCGCCGCAGGATGGCGCAGGCCCGACCGGCGGTCTACAGAGAAGACTTCACTGCCGTGAGTCCCATCGGTGCCGCTCCTACTTCCGGTTTTCCGACCGATTTCCAAGGCACTCGTTCCAAACTCGGTCGGCACAATTGTCGCCGACTACGGAGACAATATATACACCGCGCAATACTCGGCCGGTAAGGACTGCCACTCGACTCGTATGCAACTCATAGTTCGATTGCAGATTCATCGTTCTTCTACACCTGTTCTCAGGGTATGTGCTCGTTAGCTTGTACCGTCTATCGACCAGAACCTCATCATCCCAGATTTCCGATTGAACATCTTTGACACCACTGTGCCCATCCGGGTTCGCAAACCCGGAGACCGCCGCGCTGATCCATCCCACTCGCTGAGAACGAATATGAAAGTGATGAACTCAATACAGGCACAGCCCGGTATATGGTCCATTCCCGACGCCAACCTGTCACCTGACAACGAACGGTAGCCTCAGTCCTTCCATTTTCCATCCAAAGATCTCATATCTCATTCTAGAATGGTCTACGCCTTACTTGTGAGCCGATCGAATTTTACCAAGCCAACCTGAGACTCTGTCAGGGCTCAACTTGTTATGTGACGAGCACCACTGAGCCGTCCCCCACCCAAGTCCCCATCTCGTTCTCCGATCCCAACAGTCGGACCCGATCCCGCCGCTGGGGCTCAGAGTCCGACGACATCTCGATCTACAGCTGCCGGTTCTCTGCAGACGGGAACGAAGTCATCGCAGGGGGAAACGGGCAGATTTTTGGTATGTTTCCTGCGGGACGTTATCGCATTATTTTGTCCCGTTGACAGAATTCCCAGTCTACGATCTTCTGGCTAATCGGAGGACCGTCAAAATTGATGCGCACGAGGACGATGTGAACAGCTGCTGCTGGGCTGATACGTCGTCCGGAAATGTGCTCATCAGTGCGTCTGACGATACGTACCTCAAAGTGTGGTGCGTATTTCTCAGCGAGCTGTATAGACAACGGTTTTATCTTTTTTTTTCGCAACTGAAGGGACCGTCGCTCGCTCGGTGCTTCTCAAAAGCCCTCCGGGGTATTAATGGGCCACACAGAAGGCATCACATATGTCTCAGCCAAAGGCGACGGCCGATATGTCATATCCAATGGAAAGGACCAGGTCTCTGATTTCTCTCGCGAAAATTCCTTCCATTTGATAGTATCCACAGAAACTACGATTATGGGATCTGCGCAAAATGCGAACGAATCAAGATCTCGAGTCGTGCGCGCATAAAAATTATTCAACAAACTACGACTATAGGTACATTTGAATCTCATCCGATCTCTAAACTGGGTCGCTTATCTTCTCGTCCAGATATTCCAACTACCCATCGCCTCGAATAGGGGCACACCCGATGGACTGCAGTGTCATGGCATTCTACGGACATGCTGTGCTCCAGACGCTGATCCGGTGCCACTTCAGCCCCGCCGAGACCACCGGCGGGCAGTACATCTACTCAGGCTCTGCGGACGGCAAAGTCCACGTGAGTGTGGCCCCCTAACCGACCAACCAACCGATTTACATAAGCCTTCTGTCAGATCTGGTCCCTCGACGGCCAAATCGTGCAGATCCTAGACCGGGCACACAGCCTCCCGATGTCGTTCGATCCGTCCGAGCCTCACCCTGTTGCCCGCACGGGCTCCGGCGGGCATTCTTGTGTGCGGGACGTCAGCTGGCACGCTTACGTGAGTGTTGTTGCACCGCACCGCACCGCACCACCACCCACATGCACAAATGCTGACCAAATAAAATAAACAGGAGCCGGTGCTGATGACTGCTGCGTGGGAAAGCGGCCGCCGGGCGACGAGTTCGCTCGCTCGACACGAGTGGAAAGGGCTTTCGAAGATGGGGTACTCGGTCGAGGATTGGGTCGCCAAAGAGAACGCTTAATCCATCCACTGCGGCGGCGCGAATCAATCTGACCGACGAGGCGTTAGAAGACGGATCGGATTTGTGCGACCCCGACTGATGTATTCCGTATTTCTACGTGAAGTTGGACGTGGATACTCGGAGAATTCTTTCTGTCGATCTCAAGCCTATCATGCAATCAGATTAGATGAGAGATGCGATGCGATGCGATGATCTGTGAATCAAGCTGCTTTGATCTCTCGCTCAGTCTCGCTGCAGACCTCGAGCAAAACGCGGCCGAGCAGCTCAAAGTCCGACATCTACAGAAAGATAAAGAGGCCGTCAACATCCCGACTCTGGGTCCTGCGCGCCCGCCAGAACGCACCTCGTTCCACACCTGCGCGCAAACACGGATCCACCAGCCCGTCTCAGGCAGGAAGAACGACGGCACGTATATTTTGCGCTGCACCAGCGTCTTCTCGCGCATCTTATCCATGGTCGCCTTCGCGTCCAGATCATCCGGCAGCGGGATCTTGACATTGGCCTGCGAGAAGGGGGTCTGGTCAGCTCCTGAATGCTTATGCGCAAAGTCGTAGCCTGGCATAGGCGGCGTTACCATGTTCCCGGTCATGTCCCCAGTCGGATCTAGCACGCTGGTTCCCAGGATCTCTGCGACACGCGCAGCCCCATCCATGACGAGTTGATGGCAGTACTCGTTGATCTTGGCCTCTCCACCCAGCCACTGTCTGAAATCGAGAGCTGAGGGAGAGAACACGTGGGCTTCAGTTTGTCGTCGAAAACGCACACACACTCACCTGGGCCGACACTCACAAAGGGAACGAGATCGATAGTCGCCGTCCCTTGCAAACGCCGTCAGTCAAGACCGCGAGAGAGAGAAGAGAACGCATACAGTCGAACTGCTCGACGAAGTTGGGAGTGGTCCGATTTGCAGGAGAGATGTACGCATGCGAGGTGGGGAAGCTAGACTTGACCAGGTGCTGATTCCTGACAGAAGAGTTTACCAATTCATCCGGAAAGAACTGACCAGACTGCGATTCACCTGAGGGGAACATACAGTACAGCACATCCGCGTTTAGCATATAGCCACTTGTGGCAATTCTAGCGACGATTACGTCAGTGTCCCGAAGCCTATGATAGCACCAAGACGGACCGAGATGAAAAAGTCGGGCTCGATCTTGCTGAGATCGATCCCGACAACCTGCCCGATGGCATGCGCGCCGTCGACCAAGCTTAGCACGCCCTCTTCCTTGCACACTTTGACCATCTCTTCCCAAGGCAGCAGGACACCGGGAAGGGAGACCAGGGCGTCGATGATCGCAAGAACAGTCTGGCCGGGAACGCGGGGTATCGCCTTGAGGTGGGCCCGGAACTGCGCGACGACGGCCTCCGGGGTGGTCGGGAACACCAGCGGAACGACGGTCACCGTTGGATGGGGCGGGCTGTCGCAGATATACTGCACCGCGCGCTCAACGGCACCATACGTGCTGCGGACTGCCGCCTCGTCTCAGCCGTGTGCACACATCGCAAGCAGACTCGCGAAATAGCGAGAAACTCACACGTAACGATCACGTCCCCTTTCGCCCATTCGATGTTGCGCAGCACGGTCGACACCCCGGCGGACGCGTTCGCGACCATGACGCATTCGTCAGTCTGGGCGCCGAGGAGCGCGGCGACGCGCTCGCGCACGCGGGTGAGCAGCGGGAGGTACGTGACGCGGTTCCACATGTCCGGATTCGCTTCGGCCTGCGCCGCCAGCGCCGTACATTTCTCCAGGACGGGCACCGGCAACGACCCGTATGAGCCTGCACATGGCGACGCTCAGCGGTGGGCCGAGCGCGGAAAGCAACTGTGTGGGAGACGGCGACGTACCGTGGTTCATGATCTTGACTTCCTTGTCGAACGGGAAATACTCGAGCATAGGGTGGCCGAAAGGCGGGGCGGGGGTCTTCTGGTAGTCAAGAGACATGGCAGTAGATCCTTCAGCTAGGCTCTTGAAGGGTTTGTACAGCTGGTCAAGGACGCTTTATACCCACCCATTCTCAGGGGCGACGTGAGTCAGAGCTGGGTTGGGATATCGATTGATAGTGAAGATCAAGAGCGTGTGGCAGATACAGTGAGTCACTCACGGGGACAGTAACACCGGGAAGTTCTTTGCGCCGCCGCCTGCCAGTCGCGATCAGTCACCTGTGACACGACGCGTCGTGCGCGTCTCGCACAGCGCGGTGAGCAGAGAACAAGGATAGCTCGCGGAGAAAAAAGAGATAGTTCAGTCTCCGAAATCCTTCAATGCAACTAAAATGGCCTCCGCCAACCGCAGCGCGTAAAAGATGACGGCCGCCAAGTGCTATCATGTGCACACACTTTGAGATGAAAAAGCCCCCCCTCCAATCTCGAAAAGAGGAGACTTTTGTCTCGAAGATGGAACCCAAACTACATTCAAACTCTATCTCATATCAGATCAACACACTAATCGTTCCTCAACTCATGATTCCAGCAAGCCGACGCGACAGCATAGCCAGCGGATTCCCCTCCGCGAAAGCAGTAAACACCGAGGGGCGGGCAGCGGGGAAAGCATCCCCACTCAGAACCCCGAATGTACGCTCAAGACCCGCGAGCTCCCGGCACGCATACGGGAGACCTGGGTCACCTCCGCAGCCGGGGTGCAGCGTCGGGAGCGCCCCGGTGCATCGGTGCGTGTTTGCGTCGCCAAAGTCGACGATTCGGATGCTTTGGTCCGCGATGACGAAGTGCCGGCCGTCGAGGAGGTCGTTGTGGCAGATCCCAGCTGGACTCGCGCGTCAGACGAGGACAGCCAAGGAGACGAAACGAGATGAGACGCGCGTACCGGAATGGATCGCACATCCTGCGAGCATGATTCTGCGACTGCGTAAACGTCCGTCAGCCAATCGGATCAAAACACATAGAAGGGAAATCGCAATACTTCTGCTCCTCGACGGATAAGCGCGATGGACTTCCACCGCAGTACTCCAGCAAAATGCACGCGCAGTCGACGCCCAAGATCGCCCCGTGGAATATCCCGAAGAACTTGGGCACGTACTTGCCCTGCAGAGCTACCAGCTCGTTCTGGTAAAACCGTGCCTCGCGCTCCAAGCACTGGATCTCATACGCGTCGCGCGCCAGCTTCAGCACCATGGGGATCCGCGCCCCCGGCAGCGCCGCCGCCTCGACGCTCATCACGTTCACGTTCTTGTTGATACGCGCTTCCTTGCGCGCGATATAGTGCGGGGCGTCGCGCACATCCGGGGGCGGGTAGAGATGGAAGGTTTCTGACGGACTCCAGACGAGAGTGAGAGACATCGTGCCGTGGGGTGGATGGGTGGGGAAAACATTCATTCATTCTCTGCGTGCCTTTATATTACCATGGAGCCTCAACCTAAACCCATTGTCCTTTGATGCCAGCGCTTTGATCCACTTGACACCCACCTCTTGACATAGCCCTCCCGGGCCAAAAGCCATCCAAGCGCATAAATAGATGCCGCTCATTGTCTGCAGTCAAAATAGCATCTCTTGGTCTTCCAGCCTCACGGCATCAAGCAGTTCATCGGGGATGTACACGTATTTCTGCGGCGGCGACATCCCGTACTGTTCTGAGAGCGCGGAGATGTGCAGAGGGTCGCGCAGTCTGTACAAGTGGAGTATCTCGTAGGCGTAGCTGGTTGTTGTCTCTGTCGGAGTGTTATTGAAATCCGCGTTCCCCAGACCAGCATCGTCGATATCGCCCGGCAGTTGACCCTGGCTGGAGGGGTGGACATGGTTGATGATGATGAGACGCAGCATTTCGAGAGAGATGAAGTCGCCCAGCTATGTACCTGATCTCGGCAATATAACGCAAGGTTTGGTCCGGGCTGGTGAGGTACAACCTGCCGAACGAAGATCTTCACACGACGTACTGTGCCACTCGGACGGTGCACTTACCACATCCTCTGGACAGATCGAAGCAAGAGGTAATTTCGGAACTCGTGCGTCTTCGCACGAGAAAGAATATTCTTCATGTGTGGCGCCTTGATCGAGATAAAGATATCCCGCTTTCCGTCAGTCGCTTTCGACATGAGAGTGGTTGTTGAGCGGGGGGATCAGTGGCACTGCTCCAATAATGACATCCGTGCGAGAATGGACAACTACTATCTGTATCTTGTCTTTCTACATCTTACTCGCACTCCTTCCAATCGGCATCCATAACGCGGACCCCCTTCCTCATCAACCTCCGCCTCCATTCCCTCATCTCTCCCTGCACGCCAGCACCCTGCGCTACAACGCCCATCCCCTTCCGCAACCACCGCACATCCCGCGCCCGCACGACGCGCAGCCTCGGCAGCCGGGGGAGCATCCGCTCGAGCACCGACCAAAACTCGGCGTTCGGCCGGGGAATGGAGAGTATCTGCAGGGGATGCGCGCTCCCGTCTTCCGGCAGATCCAGGCCTGCGGGAAGCGGGCGCTCGAGCGAGAGATGTTGCAGACTGAGTGATGTGCAAAGCATCGTCGTCGGCGAAGGCTGCAGGTGAGTGGGCCACGACTTGGGCGTGCACAGGATGAGCGAGCGGAGCTGCGCACCGTGCGCGACTATGAATTGGGATATTAGGGACCCGTGCGCACTTTCGAAGGGTGTAAGGGTGAGTTTCCGCAGCGAAGGGAGGGGGGATAACATCATAGAAAGAAGAAGAGACGATGAGTGTACGGAGAGAATTGTCAGGGTGCGGAGATGGGGAAGGTGTAATGGTACAAAGTCCGCCGGTACAGTGACCGGCGGGGCTTCTTGCAGCTGTGCCCGGTCAAGCCTATCGCCGACCAGCTCGAGTTCCTGCAAGCCAGGACAGCAGCGCAATAATGCGATCAATGCTGCCTCATGTCTGTCCGGGGAGTAACGGATGCCTTCCAGCGTTCGCAAATGACACGCGCTTTCGCGCTGTGCGAGAGACTCTATCGCCCGACGACTCAGGTAGTGGTTCGGGTTCATGCACAGGCGCGTAAGGAACGGCAGCATCGGAAACGTCGTGACAAGTAGGGTGTCGAGCAGGAGCAGGGACGGGCTGTCTGCATCCACCTCCAGCCCGGACAAATCAAGACTCTGCACCCATCGCCCTGGCTTGGAATACGAGATACGTCGTATCGAGTCCCACCGCTGTTCGGCCCAGTGTATGCGCTCCACCAATTGGGCAAATGAAATCACGCTTGAGAGGTGCACACGAGCGTAGATCAAGGGCAGGACGAGCTCCTGTGGATCATTCGGACCCGCAGCGCGACGTACAGAGCATCTGCGCGCGCACCGTGAATTGCTTGCAGATAGTCAACAAAGTCCCTAACGTCCTCCGTTCGGAATCAGACGCGACGAAGTTGAATACAGCCGACCAAAGCTCGGACGGCAAGGAGGGCACCGCTTTGGGTGAAGGCAGCAGAGCGACGAGGAAGAACGATCCCGCGTATTGGGCATAGGGCCGGGGACGCAGGAGTATGGTCGAGGTCATGGATGCCGGGGAGGAGACGTGGATCGCGTCAGACTCAATTGTGATGATCAAGTGACTCCCGCGCGCGGAATCCCGCCCGGATGCTCCCGGATTGCGCGGTCCAGACAGCAGGGTCTGGAGATAAGCAGAGGGTAGGTGATTACGACACGAAAGTTCCCAGCCCTAGTCGTATTTCGGATGATCGCCTGACGCTCATCTGAGTTCCAGTCCATGTCATTGACGTGAAGATTCGAGTTATATGTTGGTATTGGCTGAGGGCTGTCAGGTACTCGAATCACGTGTATGGTCCGTGCGCTCTCTCAGCCTATATAATGACGAGGTTAACGATTTATTTCCTTATCTCTTGTGCTCGGGCACGTACCATCGGAAGTGAGGTTAACACCGATCCATGGTCTTTTGCTGATTGCAAATTATATCCGAACCGTTCGTCTGCTCTATGCTTACGACAATTTTTGGAAACCCTTGCTTTCTGTCCTGTGAAGCTGTCCTTGCGGCTGAGGGAGAAATCCATAATACATATCTGTACATACACATGCTAAAATTTGAATATGACTCCTCCTCTGACTTCAACTTGATGTGCGAAGAAATGGAATGTGTGCCGTCTATCCTTGATGACCAGAATATCTTTTGTTTTGTTCTGCTCGTGAGGTGGGTCACCCTGTGTTGATGATTAATAGGACCCTGAAAATAATCACAAAAACCAGAGTATCAACTGTGCTTGAGGTTGAAATACAAAAACGGGACATGTGTCAAAGCGTTGGCAAACAAGTTCTCCAGCATTTAGATATCTGTGAAGTGCAAGATAAGATCTATTCAGGGTATATGTGGATAGAACTAGGAAGATAAAATTACATTAGTGCCACCGAACGGCGCGATTCCTCAATCTCTTTCTGCCAATCCTGTTCCCACGCAGGGTTTTCTTTCGCCGCGACAACGCAGTCGGAGCATCGGATGTAGAACACGCTATCTCTCGCGCCAAAGCGACACAGCACACTGAAGAACGCCAATCAGAGATGAGCCGTGCGCGGGATAGCGACAAAGACAACTCACAACGCCGGGATTGTATCTCCCACAAGCTCAACATCATCCAACGAGATGCAATCTATGCAGTAAGCAAACGGGCAAGTCTGGCAGCGCAGCAACAAGCCCCCAGCAGCGGTTGTGTTCCGCTGACAGTGGCGACACACATGCTGGCCACAGACAAGGGCGGTCGCTTTCTTGACGGCCGCGCCAGAAAGTGTAGGGTGGCAGTTTCTGTGAAAGACTCTCGGGCAACAGTTGCACATAAATAGCTCCCCGCCGTCGCGGCAGTTAATGCACCAATCTTCCGAGTCGAACTTGGAGCCCGCTTCCTTCTTGCCTACGGCTGGCTCGGCTGTGCCGTTGACAGTCTGATGGCCTGCATCAGATTCACCATCATAATCTAGTCTCGAAAACACACCTCGATGGTCGCGTCGTCTAGAACAAAAGACATTCCTCCGAAGGTCACGAGTTTGCTTGTGTGCTGGCGCTTCGCAGCCATCTCCACCGGTTGATCCTGCATCTCCTTGGTGCGAGAGAGGAGTGAACCCTCGAAGAGGTAACTCTGCACTCTGGCCACTCCGCTCAGCAGCTCGCGTTCTTCGTCTTCGACGCCCTGCAACAAACCCTCCTCTTCCTCCTCGAGTTCCATCTTCAGGTCTTTCTTGACCCGCGCGTCGCTGACCTGGGCTCGGACATGTGACGCTTCGATAATCTCTTCGACCGTGGCTTCGCGGAACCGCTCCAGGTCCATTCCATCATCTGTCCTCGTCAGGGCACTGCTCCCGCGCCTGAGAATGGACAGCAATTCGCTTCCCCCCGGTCCCCGTTTGCTGTCATCATCGCCTGATTCTCCGCCCATGATCTTCGCAGCGAGAAACATCTTCCGGCGCAGACGATCGAGCATCTGGTCTTCCACGCTGGCGCGGCATATCAGACGGTAGACCTGCCAACATCAACGAATAGTCTCGTGAGGGATCACCCCGAAAGCGTACCTTCACGACCTTGGTTTGTCCAATTCGATGACACCGCGCGATGGCTTGTAGGTCGCTCTGCGGATTCCAGTCAGAGTCGCACATGATGCACACCGTGGCTTTGGTCAGATTGATACCCAGCCCGCCAGCCTTGGTTGAGATGAGGAACACCTTGAATTCTGTGCACGTGAGCCCAGATCGCATCCACGACCATTCGACTTACGGGAGCCCTCTCTCTGAAACTGTCAAACAGAATCAGCAAGACACTGCATATCCTCGGACTGCATACCAGGTCAATCACCAAGCTACGCTTTGCACGAGGCGTGGAGCCGTCGAGGCGGAGATACTGGATGCCTCGCAAGGTCATAAAGTCTTCCAGCAAGTCCAGCATGCTGGCCGACTCAGGTCAGCAGGGAAGGGTGTGTGTTCAGAACTGACATACTCCGTCCATTGCTGTCCGAGCCTCAGTCTCACAAGACGAAAACACAAGGGATAACTCACCGAGAATATCAGAGCTCGCTCATCGTTAGCAAAGGCACGCTTGAGAATCTTGTCGATAAAGATGAGCTTTGAAGATGCAGCAACGATGTGCTCTCTGATGTCGTAAGTTTCAGGCATCGCGTCAGAGAGCATATACGGATGGTCGCAGATCCGGCGCAATTGCATCAGCAGGATGGAAAACTTCTTCCATTCTGTGGGACAGAAAGTGAGAATAACAGACAGCTCCATGCAGCACGACTCACGGTTGACCTGCGACCCCTTTGCCCGCTCCCTCAAATCGTGCAACACCTGGCTGCGCCCTTCATCCGGGATGTTCTCTTTCATTGCCGGAAACAGCGTCGTCAGATCAATCTGGTCGAGGCGGGTGAGAAGCCGGTACGTCCAAAACCGCTGTGCTTCGGTGAAGGGCAGAAACACGGTATGTTCCTCTCTGGGCGGAACACCGGCAAGTTCCCCCGTATTCGTCAATGACCCTTTCGTCCGACGCAACTGAATGATTTCTAATAGGCGGCGGACAGCGTCGATGAACGGCAGCGCGTATTTTCCGTGCTGCAAATCGAACGAGTCGATGAATCGCTGACGCGTCGTGATCGTGAATATCGTTGGGTACAGCCAGTGCAGCAGACCCCAGAGCTCCAGAAGGTTGTTTTGGATAGGCGTGCCGGTCAAGACTGGATAACAGGTCAACTTGGCATCGGGCTGCCCCTCGTGAGCGAAGACACTCACTCAATCGCCACATGCTTCCGATCCCAGACACACTCGCCGCTACCTCTGTCTCCGAGTTCTTGATGCGATGGCCTTCGTCCAAAACCACGCAGGCCCAGCCTTGGGTCTTGAGCCACTTCATCTCTGAGGAACATGCCGTCTCGTATGTCGTAATCACGATATCGGCCGGGTCGGTACGGAGCAGCACTCGCCGCCGTTGGCGTTCCTCGGAGGATCCGTGAATGAGCACTGCGTTCATCGACGGAACCCAGCGCTTGCACTCCGACTCCCAGGACGCGACGACGGACAGCGGACATATGATGAGATGGGTCAGAAGCGTGGCTGACGACTGCTTGATGTGCGCGAAAAGGGAAAGCGTTTGCAAGGTCTTGCCGAGGCCCATTCTGCGTCGAAAGTCAGGCATTGGAATTCCCATGTAGCAGAGAAGACCTGCTCATCTCCCAAAATACAATTGACGCCTAAAATCGTGAGCAAACGCGTCGCTTGGGCACAAGAGAGAGGAAGTTGCACACCATTCTCATACATGTGCGCTAAGAACGACAAGCCTCTGAGCTGGTACGCCTTCATCTGCCCGCCCTCGACCGGAACAGGCTGGGTGTCGAACTGGCGTATCTGCGGCGCGACGACGCGTTTACTTCCCATCTCCTGCTGCAGTTTGCTGAAGTACGATTGCGCGTGTGGGTTCGGCGGCAGCAAAGGAAGATACTCGTCGCGGTGGCTGTAGAACCACACCCGTCGCCGCTCTTCGCGCTCTTCGCGCATCTCGTGTTTCACCTTCTTGTGGCTGTCTTTGGATCCATCCTCTGTGACCTCGCGCTTGCGCTTTGGTGCTTCGGACGTGTCTGACGGCCAGCCTGTGCATGATGCAGAATCACTCGTAGCGAGGATATTCGGTTTCAGATCTGCGTCTTGTGCGCAGTTCATCGTGGAACGTCTAGAAGACCGTTGGGGGCAAAAACAACAAAACTTTAACTTGGATCATCAATTCAGTGGCATCAGAGACGCGTTTGACGGCATGCACGTGAGGAGATTGATTTCGAAGTATCTTCAACGTTATCGATAAACGATTGTTTCTAGTGTTCACTTGCCACCCAAGGTCACAACCCGATGCAAGAGAGTTGAGACGAAAGAGCTTTTCAGTTTCTTCAGCAACGCACATGAATTCACGTGTAGACAACACTTTCTTCAGGTGTCAATGCGCAGTCAACCCCAGGGTTCCCTAAAGGTCAGGAGGATGCACTGCCTCATGCCCTTGGACTCTCCGGGATCTGGATGGCCACCGACTCTCCGCGAGTTCGTCTTGTGTGTGGCCTGATGTGAGATGTTGTGGCATGAGAGCCGGCCGTTGCACATTGCCGAAAGCTAGAGCGATGCTGCCAATGTCTGCCATACCGCTGTCGCCCGGCTTTCTGGTGGCGATTCACCTGTGTCTCGGAGACATGCGAGGAAACATGCGCAATTGGTTGCCAAGGAGGTGACGTCGTGTCCGAAGACATACCTGAGCATCGTGTGGTGGGGTATTCCTGTGTATGCGAGCCAGAGACCCTGGCACATGTAACGAATCCTATGCCCGTCATTGCCCGCAGTATGCGCGCAGCAGTGGTGTGCGCAGCAGTAGCAGTACTTCCCGGTCATTATTGATGGACAAACGGGGGTGATTAGGGGCTGCACGTGAGAAGGATGTTGCACAGCCGCGAATCAAACATTCCCTGCACCCTTTTCCTCTCTCCACTTTCGCGCCTATGCCTCCCCGCGGGAATACGGGCCTGGACTTTACGCCCATCCTCACCCACTATGTCTTTCTGCTAACCACTATCTTGGCCATAGTCAGTGCATCCACCCCACGCGAGGGTTCCGCAGGACTGAGATTCCGTTTAGGTCGCCTGGTTTATTGCCTTCATCGGACAAGCTGTCTCCACAGCAGCACGTACGTGCCTGACTCCCTTCCCCCATATGTTCTGAATGTCAAGACAGATGGCAATGGTTCTGTCGGTGTCCTTTGGTTCGCAATATGGCTGCAACTTGCTTTGATCCTGGGCGTCATATACACACTCGCAGCCGACTCAATAGCCATGCATCGGTTCCAAATCTCCACATTCGGGGCCGTTGCTATCGTTTTCTCCGTGCAGGGTGTGAACCAGGGCATCTTCACGGGGGTCGGCTCCCTCGACGCCATGGCAGCCGGCTGGCTCATCCTCGCCATGGTCAACATCGTCTGGGTGCTCTACTTCACATCCGAGGAAGATTCCCTCACCCTCCACATCTTCAACCTCATGGGCACGGGTGGACTGACTCCTCCCTCGCGGCGTCGCCGTACCCGCCAACCCTCGATGAACGATGGAAACGGTTATTCAAACAACTACGCCTCGGGGGGTGGGATCGGCTCGCACGACATGGGCATGGGGTACGACGCCAAGATGGGGAGCGCTATCGGCAGCGGCATGGGCATGGGCAGCCAGGCTGACCGTGTCGGTGTCAGGAGTCAAAACAGCTACGGCGGAAGTGAGCCTGGGATGGGGACACGGAGTTTGGGAACTGGTGGCGCGGGAAGTGTGTCGAACCTAGGACAGGGGGGACCCGGATCCGTCGGCGGCGGCGACAATAGTGCCTCCTCGCCATTGATGAACTCAGGTGGTGCCATCGCTGCGCCTGTGGCCGATCCCGGTGCCTCCAACTCTGCGGGTGACGCGGCGGGAGGATCGTACCTGTACAAAGCAAAGGCTTTGTATGCTTGTGCGTTGCTTCCGTATCGCCTGAATCTCAGGATTAACTTTGCTTCTACTACCAGATACCGCCTCGAGCGATGATCCCAATGAGATATCCTTCAACAAGGGCGATATCATGGACATTCTGGACAAGCAAGGCAAATGGTGGCAGGCCAAAAAAGCCGATGGCTCGATTGGAAGTGCGTAATTTCGCATTCTGGCTCTGGCTTCGCTGCTTATGCGTTTACAGTCGCACCATCAAACTATCTACAGATTATTTGAAGCTTGTCTATAATGAATGTACGACGGACCGCCTATTTACGATGATACCTCACGCACTTACGCTTCCACTGACTCGGTAATGAATCGAAACTCTGTTGTATGATTGGGGCTCTGCTAGCACTGACCAGTCCGCTCTGCACTTTACACAGCCTGCGTGTGGCACCTGGGTTTCCCAACTTCATTTGGCAAGTATGTAGTGCCGTCGTCCAAGCCATCGGACCTTATAAAAACCTTCTTGATATGTACGTACTTAGTGTGAGAGGAGACGAGACGTATGTGTCCTGTATGTTTCGAGTGTTGCCGGCCGCTTGTTGAGCGCGCTATCGCCATCAACCGGGCAGTTCAGCTATGAACGTGTCCTAAGTATGGGCTTCCCAGCAGCAAGTCGTCCCCATTTTAGTTATACAACATGGGAACCATCCATGTGACAATAGGTTTCTTCTTGGTTTCTGTACTTGGTGCTACACATTGCGGTTAATATAGATAAAGGTCAGAATATCAGCGCCTGCGTCGGCCCGCTCCACCGCCACCGAGAACGACAAGCTTGTTCCCCCGCTTCTTTCCAGAGGTCACACGTGACTCCAAGTCGTCCCAAGCAGCCTCCATCTCCCAGTCATCTTCCTCTCTCCACCGCGGCGCTGCACTGGGCGCGCGGGCGGCCGCAGGCTGGTGCGTCGCACTCGAGCTCGAATGAGCTGCGGCAGCGAAAGTGCGGGCTCCCCAGACCCCAGACGGTTGCTGCGACTCCTGGGGAGCAACGACGACTTCATCCCGCACGGGCGCCACCGCCTGGGAAGCAAACGTCCACGTTGTCGTCGTCGTGGCTAGCACCTTGTCGCGCTCGCGCTCCTCGGCGCGGGCACGGGCCCGGTCGTCCTTCTTACCCTTCTCTTTGCGGCGCCCAGCACGCAGCTTCAGAGCGTTCTCGAAGCTCTTGAGCCCAGACTCGCCCACGACCCCGTGCAGATTTGCTTCGACAAAAACGACATCGGCGCCTTCGGGCATGTGTGCGAGATACTTGCAACGTTTGCGCAGATCATCATTCACTGTGCCCTCGCTGGCAGCCTCGATTTGCACCGTTATCAGATCGGGGAAAGACGAGTATCCGCCGAAATGAGACAACAAGATCTTGATGTCCAGCGGATGTAGGAAGACAGGCAAGCCCGACGCAGTTTGGTAGTAGTAATACGTCGAAGTCGAGGGTGGTGGCGGATTCACGTTGCGCCTGGAACGATTCCCACGTCCAACAACCGAATCGGACGTGAGAGCGAGAAACTCGTGCGGGGCTGCCTCAGATTGGGGTGCTGCTGCTTCCTGCTTGCGTCGATTTCGTTGCGAAACGACCCGGTCCTCGATCTCCCGCAGATCTCTCGCAGCGCGATCTATCTTCTCTTGCAAGAACGGAGTGTGCAATTCCTCCGCGTTCGTCATCTGGTGTCTCACCTTCTCCTCCGCAGCGTCCACGAACACGATTCCCAGAGGATCGGACATCGAAGACAGCAACCGCCGCTCGGACGCGAGCTCGTCTAGATCTCGTGTTAGATCTGTGATGAGGTACGACGGGGTCGCGAGCATGAACTTGGCATAGTCGAACACATCCGGCAGGAAGTGGAACGGCGCCTGATGGGGCGGCAAGAGATCGGACGGCCAGGTGTGCGATCGGGGAAGCGCCATGGTCGTTATCTGCGGGCGTTGGATTAAGCGCAGGCGCATGGTCGTCCCCGGTCGCGGCGACGCCTCGAATCCGGCATCCACGGATCCAGAGGACGACGAGCCGGCAACAGGAGCATCCACCTCTTCCTCGACATGGATCGGGCCGTCGAACCACTTGACGCTCTTCAGCTGTTTCTCGTGCACCGAATCGAAGCAGATGGGGCACCGCGCCCACCCTTTGTCGTGTGGGCTCAGGTAGTGAAGGATGCAGGGGAAACAGAACACCTGCGGCAGAAAGTTCAGCGATAGCTTTAGTGGCCACGGTGGAGATCACTGACGTGACCGCATTTGGTCATCCTTGGGGCAGAGGGGGGAGCGAGGCAGATGGGACACGTCGTATGGCCCTCGGACGCCCCTTGGGCCTCGCTGCTTGACCCAGCGGACGCCAGTGCCGAGGAGCGGGGGATGATGACTTGCAGGATGTCTTGCCATTGGAAGAATCTGGGATAGTCGGTCATCCCATTGCTAGCAGGACGTGCTCGGAACGACTTACATGTCCGGATCCGCGAAATGTACGGTGTAGTCGCCATGCGGGTTCATGACGAAGCGATACTGGGCGTTGACGAACCCTGGCACGCCAGATAAGATACATGACATGTCATGGATACCGCGGAGCACTCACGCTCTTTATTCCACACCGCCTGATGAGTGGGCTTCTTGCTCCTCCTCGGGAGTGCCTGGGTCGAGTGCGTCTGTCGCGGGGGAAGCGTGAAGTTGAGGAGATGGTTCAGGTTGAGAGCCTGGTTCGAAGCCATCTTGGAGGCTCGCCTCGGTGTCAGCGAGGGGGCTGTCTGTGCCCCGGGCGTACTGGGCATGGATGAAGTGGTGTGTCGTGTACGAGTTGACGGGGCTGAGAAACGGTTAGGATGAGGGGAGCTTCCCTGCCAGTGGGAAGCGTCCACCAAGACCCAATTGATGGGCCGAGGGGTCTGACTCTTGTTCGGCACGCCGCGTCGGCCCCGGCTTTGGCCGTTGAACGTTTGTCGATTACAGTACTTTTCCGTCCACTCCACGTCGGGCTCGCCTGACCAGTCGTGTCGGGGAACAAACAGAAAGAATTGGAAACGAGTGTCTCCGCAGGATGACTCAAAGACACCATCTTTTTTTCAGCGGCTCCGGCGTTTAGAACCCAAAGTGGAATCAGTGAGACATGCGCGGCTCGGTTCAAGTCCTCAAGCGTCCAAACATACACCTCTGACTATTTATCTACGTCCCTTGACTGACCATTCCGCTGCTGCATCTCCTTGAAGGCCTAGCACGATGCGGATCAGTCAACACAACTGCATCAAGCCCATACAACTTGCTCAAACTCACCGCGGTATATGCATCCATCTGCCTCTCGTACTCCACCAGGACTGAATGCGACGGGTCAACATACCTGAAGCGTCCGCCCTTCCAAGCCCCCATATCCTCAACGTCGATCCCAGCCTGACACTGTCCCTTGAACTCCACCCGCATCGCATCAACCACAGCTCGGACGAACCACTGACACTGATACTCCCCGATATGATACCGCGGCGCAAAGCCCGACACCGCCCCAAGCAGCAGCGCGAACCGGACCACCGACGGGCGGCTGCGCTCGGGGAACACCACGCTCTGGAGCCGCCTCCCGCCCGCGCCCCTGCGTCGCTCGATATCGGCGACGCCGCGGTGCACCCAGTCGAGCGCGCAGTGGGTCGACGCGAACGGGGACCGGCACGTCACGGTGTAGCCCGCGTCCAGGTGTATGGCGAGACTGCGGCCCCGCTCCTCCGGCACATCTCGTTTGCCCGTGCTCCTAGTATCCTGCGAACCGCTCAGACGCTTCCCGTTCCCAGATCAAAAGAAAACCACGCCCACGGACCTCCGCGTAACTCTCCGCGATCGGCGACATCGTCAGCCTGGAATCCAGCGAGGACCGCTTCCCGCTCCCCGGGCTCTCGGGCTCGTACGCACGGCGATCCTCGTCCGGGCGATTCCGAAACTCGCGATCGACGATCAAAACAGTCTGCTCGCCCGTGGCCTCGTGGAGCACGTGGACGCGCAGGAACTCGTGTTGTCGAGGCGTATCGGGCCCCTCTTTGAGATGTTCCACCCGGCTTACGACCGCCCCATTTGCAAGTGCGCTGTCTCGAGGCTGCAGGAGAATCGTGTTCCGCCATTCGTCCAGCGGCTCCGAATGGCTGTTCTCGCGCCGAGCGGGATCCCACAGCCCTGGCAGCAGGAGCTTATTGGATGTGAGCGAGAGACGAAACCGTCGCCAGAGGGTGCGCAGAAAAAGAGTGAGTGCCATGATGGGCGGTCAGTGCAGCCAACTTGTAGTGGTTGATATATCTATCGACTACTTTTCTAAAATTACATCGGCCATGAGATACTCGCCACCGATACACACGCCCGCAGACCACACCAGCAGCAGCGATGCAACACAGAAGAAGGTGATCGACTGGCCGATTTCCAGCCACGAACCTATCAGGGCAGATCAGATCAGGCACATGCGAGAGGCAACAGCACACACCCGTGTCCGTCACGTTGAAGAAGAAAGCCAGAGTCATCCCGTCTGTGAGAGTCAATGCGACGAGGAAGAGCGAGAACGGCGGTAAGCGCAACGCGTTGTTCAGGGTCGCAAACACGACCGAAAGCATAATGTACGGCGCCACAATCTTGAACACCTATGAGCAGGCCATTAGTCCTTGCAGCCCGGCGAGTCGCCGCCTCTCCACTTGCCAGAAGCAGCGCCATGGCAAATGGACTGAATATCGGGATCAATCGATACACTGGCGCCAGATAAAACGACGAGATCGAGGCCACGCTGAAAACTCATTATCAGCCGCTGCCGCCCCCGTCGGTGCATGGTAGGGCCACTCACTTTCCCGTGCCGAAAAAGCCGACCTGCACGAAAAACAGGAAGAACAGCGCGATCCGGATATCGTCTGCTTGAAATCTGTACTGTGTAGAGGCCCTGATGTCCTTCCCTCGCACCGATTGCTCGATCCGGATCCACTGCAACAGAGTCGACGAGTACGCGACGTAGAACAATCCTTCCACGCTGATGGAAAGAATCACAAAACAAACGCCAAACGCCAGGAAGAACATCAGCAGCTTCGAGTGCGCATCGGCGCCAGATGTTGTCGTCACAAAGGGCAACGCCGACGCAAGGACTGTCTGCGGTGAGCTAAAGTCCAAAATCTCAATCGAGCTCCTACTTACCAAGGATCGCCCACCCCGCGACTTGGTTGGCAAGTGGCAGCCCCAGCTTATTCTGCAGGTGATGCACAGAACTTGCAGTGACAACCATGGCTGCCACAATGAGTCCTGCCTGCAGCCTGTTGAGGGGGCGATTACGGATATGATGGAGGCCTGACCTGAATTGCAAACAACCGTGTCGGTGGCTTTCTCAGCCCGCCGAACTTGAGAAAGAGAGCAGCGAAAGCGAGCATGGAGCATCCGCCCAATGTGCTGACACTCGCATCAGTCCAAGTATCGTATCGGGTGCGTTTCTTGGATCGACGCACATAGTCGAAATGCTTTCCTCCTTGTCCACAGATAACAGCGGGAATATAGCCGTGGCAATACACGACAAGGACCACAGACGAGTCTCACACAATCCTGATGTCAACGGCCACAGGACACCAATGACAACAAAACCGACGCTCCAGATAAACCGGTGCACGTAAGCCAGCTGAGGAAACCGTCAGTGCCAGGCCACATCGTACACACACGAGCTGACGCACCACCATGCTCTGCAGGACGACAAACACTGCCGCCGCATAGAACAGGCCCCGTCCGAACCGCCATCCTCCGCTGTTCTGAGCACGGATATACGGCGTCATCTGCAGGACGACCTGCTGCCAGAAGTAGCACGGAAACGCCACATACACGTAATACGTCCACGGCGATTTCTGGACAGCGAACAGGGCCCAAAAGGCACCCAGGACTCCAAGCGCAGTGCTCGTGACGACTTGGTATCCGCGAACTGAGATCCCATGCGCGTCGAGCGGTCGGATGATGAAGAGCGCGGCGTACGCCGCCCAGCCGAGATAGGAGGCGATGACCATGCCCTTGATCAGTCTTCGCTCGTACGTCTGCAGGTAGCGCAGCCCGTCGAGCCCGTCTTGTATGACCCCCGCCGCCAGCTTCCGCGCGGAGTCCCATTGCTGTGCGTCCAGAGCTTTCTCGATGCTGTCCATCTGCGACGCAACAAGTCGGGGAAACGGCTTGTACCAGACAGTTTGCGATTGCTTCAGTTCTGCCGACGATCAGGGCCGCGCTTGAAAAGTGAAGTCTAGAGGCAGCATACCGTGTTTCACTCGATACTGCTCCAAAATCATCTTGTGTGGGCTTCAGCTACGGATATCACCGGGAATACTCTCACACACCCTTGCATTCACAGCAGAAGCCTCCGCAAGCCTCCGCTCGCCGCCAGCCGGGGCCAAGAACCCCGGACGCGAGGAGTCAACGTCCGGCAGCACTCCGACCGAGTTGACAGGCCAGTTCACGCCCAGCAGCGCAGCCATGAGCGGCGCGAGATCCGCCTGCTCGACGTCCCTCCTGTAGAGATGTCCGAGCTCCCACGGCGACGAGGATGCTTCATGCGACGTCGGGGACGTATCGGGGAGCGGTCCGCGGACCCCGCGGCCCCATGCGATCACCGGCGTGCGTGTGTTGTCGGGGTCTGCATCTGCATGTCAGCACCAGAGCGGCAAGATCCTGGTGACGTCACTGACGCCCGTCCCCGTGGTTCCCGATGACCGACATCCCATGGTCCGCCGTGAAGAGGTAGCTTGTCTCGTCGTCCTGGAAGAAATCGCGCACGGCTCGCTCCGTGCGCCGGACGATGTCGTCCACGACGCGGATGTTGTTCATGTACTCGGCCGAAAAGGGACGGTACGAGTGGCCCGTCGTGTCGAGACCGAGCAGATGCAGGAAGAAGACCACCTGGGGAGCACGCAGTCGCGCATCCAGCGCAGCATCCGTTGTCGCGTTTCTGAACAGCGATTGCAGTTGATCAAACACCCAGATGTCCAAGGCTGTAGCGTCTGGATTCTGGCCGTCAGAAGCCATATACCATCGCGCGGCGACGAAAACCAACCCACCTTTCGTGAAATCCTCCTCGCTCTCGTCGTAGCACCACGTGAGCACCCGCCCCGGCACCGCCCCGCGCGCAAACATCGGCAGAATGTCCGGCGACCCAAACGAGAACGTCGTGCTCGACTGGTTGAACACGGAGTCAAAGTCCACCTGGTGCGGCGCCGCGGCACGGCTCGGTCACCCGTCCTCCCACGCAGTCGGCGGCAGCACGCACCGGATTCGTCTTCCAGCCCTGCAAACGCATGTCTCCGCCGCGCCCAACCGGAAGCAGGCGCATCGCAGCTCACCTTCATCACAGCCGACACGTCCTCGTACATGCCCCCTGCGAAGCGCGACAACACAAGCAGCGTGAGATCCGCGGGAGCTGAATACGGCGTGGCGGGAGCGCGCACGCACCGATGATCGCGACATGCCCCGGCCGGCTCTCCGTCGGCACGCGCGTGTGCGAGATCCCGAACGCGCCGCGCGTCTCCGCGATGGACCGCAGGTGCGGCGCCACGACGGCGGGCGCATCCGGCCCGCGCGTGTCGGCGGGGAACCCGTTCTTCGTGAAGAGCAGGTCCGCGCGCAGCCCGTCGCCTGATCGGCCGTTCAGTCCAGCACGAGAGCGATGTGGTAATTATGACTGGGGGGATTCACCGACGATTAGAACGAGTCGCTTGGCCTCCCCACTAGGCAGCGCATAGCTTTGCATTCCATGGACCACAGGGCTAGTAAAGTAACAGTCGAATACTACACGCAGTCAGTGCAGGTCGATGCGAATGACGGAAACAACGAGCCAGAAGCGAGATAAATCAAATGGAATGCCAGTCCCGTGAAGAGCAGTCCTGCCACGTTGTACTTCGACGTCATGGCGAAACAAGGAGGTGATTTGTGAGTAGATGAGATGAGTACGCGAGGGCAGGCAACGAAGACGGATTAATTCATAGAGGTGAGCGTCAAGGGTGGACTTGAGCTTGAATGGGCCGCGTGCAACTTGAGCAGAGATTCGGACTCTGTCACGGTACGATCACAACGTGACAGCACGCGACTTTGCTTGTCCATCACTCTTATGACCCATCTCATGCAAATGCATTTGGTATTCATTCACACGATATACAGACTATACGGCATTAGACCACCTGGTGGGGGAAAAACACGGACGTTTGGTCAATTGAATACATGCTCGACACTCGAGCGCAAATCCCGACTGGACGCGCCGACGTGCAACGTGAACGACCCTCTCGGAACTGACCCTTACCTTCAGAACACGAGGAATCCAAGAAGAGCACGACCTACCTCTCCATTTCTGCTCGACTACGTCCCAGACCGACAAATCCTTCCTCGTCAGTTCAAACGCCGCAGTTCCATGTTGTCCCGGCTCGAGGTGTAGCTTGTCGAAACCGCGCAAAACGCGCGGAGGTTTGTTTTCTGCGGCCGGGAACTGCACCGAGGTTTGGAATCTGGGTCACGATATGTATGACACTTTAACGCACCGAAACGTACAGCTGGGCAACTTCAGCACCAGCGACTTTGCCCGAGTTTTTGATGGTCACTGTAGCCTGGCGAAAAGGTGTCAGAACATCAGCAACTCGAGGACAGCTAGACTACGCACGGTATACAGCACATCATACATGCTCCCGCCAGAATCCGACGACAGCTCGACAAACTGTTCCGCAGTCGGTTGGATCGACGTATCATCGGCTTTGAACGACTTTCTTAGGGTGAGCTGGCCGTACGAGAAGGTCGTGTAGCTCATGCCGAAGCCAAACTCAAAACGTGGTGTGATGTTCTTGGCGTCAAACCACTGTCATGGTGGTCCCAGCGGTCAGGATGTTTCGGTATATGAAGAGCCACAGTGAAAGCACCTTGTAATCGATGAGCAGCTTCTCGGTGAAATCGGCCACACGCGTCGAGTTGTCGGTGGCGATTCCGTTCGGAGGCCAGTCTGTGGCAGGAGTAAGCTTTTTTGCGTCCGTTAAAACAGACAAACGAGACCTACCTGCAAGGTCCTTGCCAAAGGTATATGGGAGCTTGCCCGAAGGCGAGACTTCGCCCCACAGCACAGGCACAAGGCTGCTCCCACTCTCTGGACCAGGATAATGAGCGACGAGAACAGCAGTAACCTGCAGAGGTTCGCTTCCAACCAAAACTACGATTGATTTCAGACACGCACATTGGGCTGTTCGATCCAGTCCTCGACGATGACCGCTCCGGGCACGTGCAGCACCACGATCGTGTTATTATTGACAGCGGCGACAGCTTGGACCAAAGCGTCGCCGTTCGGATACGTCGTGAGATTGTCTCTGTCATACCCCTCGGACGCGTATGCGCTCAGGAAAACGAGCGCGGCCTCTGAGTTGCCGGCCTGTGCCGCCGCCATCGTCAAGTTGTAGTTCTCTAGATGCTGGTTGATATCCGGTCCGTCCGCAGCGACATACGCGTTGAGCGCTGCCAGGGGATCGATCGTGTACGGCGGGTAGGCAAAAGCGCTCCCTCCCCCGATGGTCATCGTGCCGTTGTTGCCGCCCCAACACGTCTGGTCTGTCTCGCCACAGGAGGTCACGCCAAACGGCGCCGCCCCAGCATCTTGCCCGATCACAGCAAGCGAGGACATCGCCCAAGTGGCCGGGAACGGGAGAGCGCCACCGCCAGTGCGGTTGTTCTTGACGAGCGTGATCGCCTCCTGCGCGACTTGCCGGATGATCTTGTGGTGATCGCGGCGGACGTTGTTCGTGGGCAGCTGGATGTTGGATACATCAAATGTGGGGCGGGGGAATGTCTTCATGTCCTGATGCTGCAGAATGGGAGCCAACGTGCGCAGAACCTGGAATCGTTTGACGCCTTGCTCGAGTGTGATAGCGCACTCGCACTCACCATGTCATCCAAACGTGCTTCGGGAATAGTTCCATTTTGTACCAAGGCGATCAGATTATCGCCGAAGAGATTGGGAAAGTTGGCTCCCTCGAAGAAGACGTGCCCCGGCATGGTAAGATCCAATCCATTCAGAGTCGAGTTGAGTGTGTCCCAGGTGCCTCCCCAGTCCGAGATAACTGAGCCCTGGTACCCGAGCTGTCCCTTCAGCCACTTGTTCAGAGCAACGTCGTTGGAGCAGGCATGAGTGCCGTTGATTTCATTGTAGGAGCACATGATGGTGCCGGTGCCAGCACGAACGGCTTCGGCAAAGGGCCACTACAGTGTTCGAGTCAGCGCTCAGTGCCTAGATTTATTCTCGGACAGACCAGATACAATTCATGAGCAGTCGTGTCATCAAATTCGGAGTTGATGGGAATCTTGATCTCACTTCCGTAGTTGGCTTCTCTGAATGTCTCCTAGATCCGAGAATTGAGCAGCAATCAAGGATGCCATAGTGCACGACTCTCACTTGTTCATATCCTATAAAGTGCTTGGAACACGCCAGCACACCCTGCTCTTGGGCACTTTTGACGGTCAAGTAAGATCCCACACCGTGCAGATAACTGCGAGACGTCCGTCAGTCAACAAGCATCTCTGAAAAGTGCCACACACGGATCGGGTCCAAATCCTAAGAAGGGCCTCTCAATGACGAATCCCGTGCAAAGGAAAAACAAGCCAACCTTCCCAAACGCGTCCGTCCAGAGGACTCCGTCCCATAGGACCGCCTGTCACGGGCCCCAGCCTACGTCCACACGTCAGCATCGCCGCCAGAACACACACCCCGGACCATCGCGCACCAGATGTTGACCCCCTTGTCGCGGAACTCGCGCGCAATCGCGGCCCCCCGCGTGGCGATCAGGTCGCGGTTCCACGTCGCGGCCGCCGTGAGGCCCGTCGGGAACTGCGACGCCCTCCGCGCGGGGCGGACGCCGTTCGGGCCGTCCTGGAGGCAGAGCACGGGGATGCCGAGGCGCGCGACCTCGCCTGTGCCGCCGGCGCATGCGCCGGGCCATCCCGTCGTTAGGTTCACCTGGTCTGCGTTTAGCACGGGAGGCACGGAAGATCTGGGAGAATTAGTGGATACTGACTTTCTCGGGGATCGTCTGCGGAAAGGATCAGGATCAGTGTTGGAGCCGCCACGGACCGAGGAACATGAGTGCACACCATCTGGTCCACAAGAGCCTTTGCTTGGGCGAAGCCCTTCCTCCAGGACCCGCCGTGCGCGTAGGGTCCCGTGTATTCCTCTGCACTCGACGAGCCAGCGAGCAAAAGGCTAACGAGCAGTTGTTTGAACTTCGTCGGTACCGCCATGGACGTGCTTTCATCCCCGGAACTTCAAATGTCTCTTATAACACAGTTGTGTATTTCATGCAGATAACACGGGGTCAGCTGGCCAGGGAAACTGTCCGGACCGCTGCATCGCCAAGAGCCAATGGCGGGGAGGGATTGGTGGGAAGCAGACGCTCATTGATCGGAGAGAGGATCATCCGCCCCATTTGGTCACGGGGAGTTATCTCCAGGTCGCACACACACAGTGACGACATTGGCGATCGGTCCGAGGCTCCGATGTCAAGCACACGACCTGCGCTAGAGTCACCGTACAGGACATGGATTCACGCATCTACAAAATGTACAGCACATTCCAGCCGGCCAAGTAACTGTGTCAGCCGTCGGTCCGCCCGCTTCGTAGCCGAAATTTCCCAGATACACAAAAGCGCCAAGTTCGGGAACATCCCGCTGACCAAAGCATCGAAATGGCGGCTGAGATGGATCCATTCCGTCGAGCCCTCTCCCAGGATCGGCACGTCCGCAAAATTCAGACCGATGCGCTCGACCGCCGGATAGCAGCAGCGCGTGCCATCCTCGTCGTTGGGCGCCGGCGCCATCGTGATGAACACGTAGTAGTTGATCTCGCGCAACGACGGGCAGGCGCGGAGGCACGCGGAGACGTGGTCGTTCCACAGAAAGTCGACGTGCTTGCCGAACTCGACCCGCGCCAGCCGCGCGCCGAGGGCGTCCCAGATCTGGCCCATGCCCTGCACGGTGAGCGCGCGGTCCGCGACGAGCGTGTGCAGCGCGGGGAGCGCCCAGCGGCGGCAGATGTACCACGGCACGAGCGGGTTCGACGAGCGCAGCCGCAGCGTGCGCAGGGCCGGGAGGCTGACGCGCTCCGACCCCAGCCCCAGCCCGTGCGTGACAGAGTGGCGCCGGGTGCTTCCGATGAAGAGGTACTCGACGTGCGGCGCGGCGTTGAGCACAGCCGTGAGGGCGTTGATGCCCCCGGTACGATAAGCCATGTCGTGGCCCCACCATTCGATCCTGCGCACCGACTCCAGGGACGGGCACGGAGCATCGAATTCGAACTTCAGCCATCGGTCGAAAGGCGAGGCCGCGTGCGGAGGCCGGACCAGAATCTTGAGACCGCTACAGAGCGCGATGAAGCGTGTGGAGGGAGGTGGACTGATGGATTCTGTGACCGTGCTCGAGTACGGTAGGACGGCGCGCTGGACCTGTGCACGCGCAGATAAGACATGAACTGCACTGGTTCGTCGGGAGCACGCACGTAATGCCCGTATTCTTCACACATCAGAAGTCCCTCACTTTTCGATACGCTCTGTGGCATCTCGAGGTCGCGATAAAGAAGCGGGATGGCCCAAGTGCGCCATGTTCTACAGACTTGCACCACCGAGCTCAACGGAGTGGGCTGTGGCTCGAAGACTCCAGGAATAGTCTCAAAAGGAACATGGTCGATGGTGTACGGTTCCCCAGCCAGATGGGCCAAGATTTCGAGCCACAGTTCCGCAGGTAGAAGGTGATGGTCAAAGTGCATAACCTAGACACATACGTAATCTGGATCTAATCTAATCTCATATCACTGACGTCCGGAATTGCAAGCCCTCGACCCGGAAAACTTCCATGCGCTTCTCGAACTTCCTGCTGAATTTGCGCGAGCTGGAGTAGCGGACGTCGTTCAATCTGGACACACTCGGTCGCTCAGGCATGCCCGCCAACTCCTCCTCCGTCCACCAACGGGACTCCACGAACATCTTCAGCGTCGCCTCCTCAAAATCGCAGCGCTGCGACGAGAGCCACAAAACCTCGAGTCTGGGCAGTGCCGGGGGCTGTGCAGACGACGACGAGTAGCGCAGCGACGCGAGAAACGCATCGTCGATGCAGTTGGAGCAGTTGTACACCTCCAGCCGTGTGACATTCGATCCATGCTGCGCGACGGTGAGGAGATCCTCCGAAGTCAGCGCGCAATGGTCGATTTGCAGGTGCGAGATGTGTGGCGAGTTGCGCTGGAAGGTCGTAAAGGCGTCCGGAGACCAGGTGATGACGCCCGAGTTGTATTCGCCGTACAGCTTGAGCAATTTGAGCTCGGGGAGGACTAGGCGCCGAAGGAAGGGAGTGAAATGCTCGTCCGAGGACGTGTTCGAGATGTGAATCTCCAGTTCCTCCAGACGAGGCAACGTCACGGTCTCCACTGTCGCCGAATGATCAACAGAAGTAGGCCACCCCGAGACGCGTAGCGTCACAGATTGCGCATGCGTGCAGCGCACGACGATGTCCAGGCACAGCTGCGGCGATTCGTGGGCCAACGCGATGTGCGTGAGCTGCCACCATGGAATCGCGATGGTGGTGACCACGGGAACATGGAACAGCGTGACGCGCCGCAAGAGTGTAGACGTGGCAAAGGCATTGATGCTGGGGTACTTGCCCGCACCCTCGACATGGCGGATGTCCAGCGTCTCGAGCACCCGCAGGCTTCCCGTGGGTATCTGGGCGAGGGATGGCAGCGACTTGGTCGTCATCGCCAGCGACTGCCACCGCTCCGTCACCGCGAACAGAACGTCCATGAGCGCCGAGAAGCTTTTTCCGCTCGAGTCGTGCCCCGAGTCCAGCGAGATGGGGAATGGGAGCGGCGCAGAGCGCTCTAGAAAAACCTTCGTCGCATCCACCATGACCTCTCCCGGCCGCTTCGCGCTGGGAATCGGCAGCATCCGGCACCACAGCCGGGGCGTTTTCAACGTCGCATCTCTCCAGTGCTTGCACACCTGCCCAAAGACCAGCACATCCGTCACGGGCCCATCGACGTCGACCGCGAGCGCCAGGATCTTCCCGAGGACGTCGACGGGGATCGTGCGCACGGGGGCGGTGATGAGCTGCAGCGCGGCGATGACGCGGTGCTCCCGTGCGCGGAGATGCTCGAGATCTGCGATCTGGGCGTCGAGCCGCGCGATGATGGCGCGCGACTCGAGGATGAGCTGGTGCGCCCGGTCCTGCGCACCGGGCGTGTCGAGGTGGGCGAGCAGGAGCGCGGTGGAGAGCGTTGCAGCCATGGGGGCGAGAAGCACAGGTGGGAGATCATCGATGCGCGCTTGCAGGGACTAGCCGAAAGGGTCGTGGCCCGGACCGCTTACGACCTCGGTGACATTGGTCACGGCGACACGCGTTATTGCCGGTGACCGTCCCGATCACGCGCTAGCGTGACACCACGCGTTCACCACTTTCTGTCCGCAACCGCGATGTCGTCACGTCTTTCCCGAGCCAACTTGCGGGGCCGAGAGTCTATATTCGCTGGAGGCTCAGATCTGTATCGCGGAGATATACAGGCTGTTTGTCCCCCCAGCCTCGAAGAGTGCGTGTCGATTTTGGAAGACTGCTGTGAAGAGGTGCGCCGCTCTTCACCGCTTGCGGAGACATGATCGACAAACGTTAGGCACACGCAGCCGAAACGCTTCTGTACGAGGGCACGAGGGACTTGCCGAGAATGAACAAGATCTTGGAGAGCCAGCGGGTGAGAGAGAGCTCTGCTCCACATAGCGACAAGCGACGATTGAGATCGCCGGTTCGCACCACAGGTCTTCCTTCTGGTCGGCGATGATACTGTCCGAAGATACAAGATGGAACTGGCGGACGAAATCGAGCCCGCGATTAGCGAACTTCTCGACCTTGCACAGCAGGGTCTCGCTTCGTTGCAGAAGAAGGAAGCGATCCTGCAGTCCAAGGTCGGTGCGTTGCCCTGCATGGTATGTGCGTCTGTGACAGGGATCCACAGGTGGATACCGCACAGCTGCGGACTGCCCGGCCTGTTATCGTGGGCACCTCGGCATCGCACAAGATGGAAGCACGCCGACTCCATCTCCTCACCAAGCAACGAGAGACGTTGGAGAATCAGATCCGAGCGTTGCAGGCTGAGGTTGAGGATATGGTGAGTTTCTCCCCTTTCGTCTGCTCCACTCGCTGATGACTGTCCCAGGAGAGCATGTAGATGCCTCTGTTCGATTGTATATTCATACAGATACAATAATGTGAATTGGAGTGCGAGATATCCAAGTCAAGATTATAGTTTCGATGGCGATAACGTGCCGCTCTCGGAAAAGATATCGAAATTGCGTTCCATCAATATCTCACTAGTGACCTGCCGCGCATGTTAGAGATAGAGTTGGGACCCATGAGACGGGATCACAACATACGCCTCCTTTCCCTGCTAAAATCACAACACGATGCCGACGCCCAGCCGGTCCGCCGCGCGCTTCGTCTCCGACGTACGTCAGGGTGATACGGCCGCGTTCATCTGGCGGCCCCAGCTGCCGAGGCTCGATGATCAGCTGCCCAAACGCGCTTCGGCCGAGCGCCGCCACGCGCTCCTGCTGCTCCCGCGTGTTGACGGAGCCGCGGAGTATCGGGGACAGGGTCTGCATCAGGTAGAACTGGGGCGGCATGAGCGTGATCTTGTGCGCTGCGAACTCGGCAAGGACGGCGTCTGGGTGCAGGAAGCGGGCCGCGATGACTTCTTGGCCCCCATCGGATTTGGGGAGCCGATCTTGCTTGGCCCCACTGGAGAAGCCCGTGGCAGATACTTTGTCCAGGAAGGTCACGAAGAAGTGCGTGTGGAAACGGCTGAGTCAGAACCAGTCAGTGCTATGATGGTCGTGGGTACACTACATCCACACCCACCGCGGAATATACTCGGGCGTCACCCACTGCGTGAACGGCAGCAGGCTGTTGACGTCCGCCTCGAGCTCGTGCTCGGCGAGGAAGCTCTGGAACGGCGTCTTCCCGGCATGGATCTCCGTCCGCGCGCGGTCCAAGACCGAATCTGGCGGCGGCGGCGACGATGCCGGGCCCGAGGCAATCAGCAGCCCAGCCTCCTCGAAAGTTTCTCGGATGGCTGTCACCGCCAAGGACGCATCTTGCGCCGGATCGAAGTTGCCCCCGGGGAAAACCTGCACACGGCATGCTTCAGGATCGAGACGAGAGACGCGGAAGATGAGAGCATGTATGCACATGGACGCCGCCGAAGGATCGCGCCTCGGGGTTGCGGTGGACGAACAGCACTTCGTTCCGGCTGTTGACGATGATTAGGCTTGCGGAGGGCCGGGGCACAGTGGGGGAGGGGCGTTGCGACGTCGGCATGTGGACAGCTCGAAGGAGGGATCGTGGAGCTGACGGCGTTCGCGATGGTCGATGCTTAGACAGAGACGTGGAGAGCGCACGGGTACCAATCCTGATTATCGGCGGCTCGAACATGTTACATGAAAGAGCGGCACCGGCTTTCCGGGTGTCGGGACAGCCGCTGGCAGGTGGGAGTGCGAAACAAGTTGGTGGAGATATTTACATACACACATGACCATGACCTAACTGACACCTATTTGGCACTTACTGATAACCATACGCCCAAGGGCAATAGACTCGGCCTGAGAAAGTCAGTTGAAAGCCTTCCTCTTTCTTTCCTTCGTCTTAGAAATTCGGAAGCAGATGTTTTGTGTGCGCCTTTCCGCTGGAACGAGCACGCTATCTGCGGAGATGACAATAACATGTGACGGTTGTCATGGCACACGGCCCCACCGCCGAGCATTTGGATCCGTTCGAAGCAGCAGGCCGATCAGAATCCGCGGAGCAGCAGCAGACATATGGGAAGGCCCAAGTCATACCCGAGGAAGCGTTGGATATAACAATACATGCGTATGGACTTGGATAAAAGTACATCGATGGCATGGGGATGGTGGAGCAACGGATCGGGGGTGGCATACGTGCCGTCGTCGTCGTCGTAGCCGCGAGGCAGTGAGGCAAAGCAGGCAGCAGACGTCTTGGCGCCGAATCACGGAATGAGAAAGAGCCCAAGTTTCGGAAACGCATCGCGCGCGGAACAGTCGGTCACCAGACGGCCCCCAGCATAGCTTCGGCGACTGCGGGATTCCCAGCCGCATCCTGAAGGGATCGCCTTGACGCGCGGGAGTGGGGAGCACAGCCGATCTGGGCAAACGGCAGACGCAGGGACGCTGCAGCATGGATGAGCAGGCGGTTGGTTGTCGGTTGTCCCCAGTGGACATTGAGCATCCCGAATTGCACCGACTCACGACGATTACGATGTCGTCGCGCCTCGCTCCCTCTGAAGCTCCAATCTACGGGCGGGGGACGTCTGAGTCTCGGCCCTCCTGCGCTCCTCAGCGGCTTTGAGGCATTCGGTCCACAACCGCAGGGTATAGGTCTGCAACGCGCGGGAATAAAGAACGACGGGGTGCAGGTCGGGGTTCGCTGCCTCGTCAGGGAGGATGCCGCGTGTCCCAGAGGACATGCAAGGTGGAGGGGGAGGAAGATGGTGGTGACAAGCAGAGACGGGTCACACACACACTTTATAGCTGTTCCGGTGCGGTTGCCAATATTACTCAAGCGAGCAGCATGCGTTAAAATCCGTAAAAGATGCTCCACAGCTGAATCTGGTGCTTCCGACCGCCCTAAAAATTAACAGCGAGACGGTGCGGAGTGGCCGACGGATGCTCATGCTTCTGCGGGTGCCGTGTCCCCGTCGTCCTGGGCTGGGCGCAGCACAGGCGTGTTTGCAGCCCCACTCCAAACACGGCCGGCATGATAACGGACTAAAGATTTGGAGGATCACGAAACAGTCCCTTCGCGGCCGGCGGGCACCACAGGCAGCCGAATGGATAAACAGACCGCCTGCGATGCGCGTGCAGAGTCTTCACGGAGATGATTTCACGGAGATGATGGACTTGGTCGATGCAATCGATACTTCAATGTGGCTTTAGTCGACGTCATGGCTCCGGATCAAAGGCGTGTGTCAAGACTCAAGCCCGTTACGGTCAGCTGTCAAACTGTAACGCGTCACACATTCGTTAAACAAGACTGGTCGCTACTGGTCGCCGTGACCTGCCAGGATCTGTCCCCCCCGGCTCCGCGTTCCGATCCACCGTTGAAGTCGTACCCTTTGTATACGTCCAGGAAGGGAAACAGGACGCATCTCTCTAGCTCTGGGAGCGCAACCAAGCTCAAGCCCATCCCTTCGCTTAAACACCCGAGATCGCTCGTTCTTCTGTGGACGGCTTCGCAGGCAGAAACCCCCGGCCCTCGCACACTCCACTCCACTTTCCTCCACCGCGTCGCATGATGTGCCCGACTCCAACTCCAACAGCCCCCTGCTGCCTTCCCGCACGCACTTGGCAGCGTAACGACTCTGATCGCATCTGTGCTCGAAATAGATAGACGAGCGGGGAGAAGCTTCATGGTGATGCACTACCACCTCGCTGAGTTTGGACGCTCCATGCATGCCTCGAGGAGACTCTCTGCATGTACAGTATCCTGATTGGTCTTTGGGACTTTTCAAAATCCCACGTCTCGGCAACGATCCTCATCCAACCCACTTGTCAGCTAACAGTCGGGGAACATTTCCTCGGGGCTCACGTTCCCATGTACTGAGCTGACAGTGATCACACTTCGAGTGCTGGCTGTCGCATCATCAATATCTTCTGGGCGTGGGCTCAAAGTAGATCGTGTTTGCATATGAGATAACGTAGACTGGAATGTGCACCTACAGCAGTGCACCTCGACGCGTATGCACAACACCTTCAATGTCGTTCATTCCCACGAGAGTCCCAAGTGCGGCCCCCGTTCGCGTCAAATCTGGCTGCAGAAATGTTATCCTGGGGGGATGATAGCATAGCATGTGATCGTCCGACGCGCATCGTACCTTCGACGGCCACGTTCGTGGGCCTGCATGCGCTGTCGCCACTATATATATATATATATAATACCGCCTTGCGTCCGGCCGTGCTTGACTTTAACTCACCATGTGGACCTCTGCGGGGCTCTCGTTGTGCGTGCTGCTGCCGTCGGTCGCGGCTGCGTCGTCGGCCTCCGCGCCGTCGGCCTCCGCGCCGTCGGCGTTCACCGCCGCCGGCGCGTTTCCCACGTCCTTGTTCACCAAGTACTACAACAACCCGACGCAGACGGCGTCGCAGGTAGGCCGCGCACCCGCGCGATAGTAGATAGCGGCTCACGCCTTGATTCTCGCGCGCGCAGCTCCAACCCGTGATCAAGGATCCCGTTGAGACGGTGAGCAGCCTGACTCGGAGACGCGTTAGATCTAGCCCCTGAATGGAGTCCCTTCCCCGCAGGGCGTGACGTACAAGCTCGGGCTGACGAGCCCGGACAACATCCCGCAAAGCGACACCGCCGACCCGCACCCGCTCCCCGACGCCGCAAGCGCGGCGCAGCTGCTCGAGCAGGCGTACGCGCAGATCCTCGCGATCGCGGCGAACCCGCTGTACACCGCGAACACGTGCGCGGGCTGCCAGGCCGCGCTGCAGGTCGCCAAGTTCATGTCGCTCGCGGCGCCGCAGCAGGGCCCGGCGCTCGCGGTGCGGCTGTGCGAGCACTTCAACTTCTCGACGACGTGCGAGCAGTCGTTTGGGGCGCTGGCGCTGGGGGGTGTTGTCACGCAGGTCGTTGCGAATGCGAATGTCGGCGGGTACGACGGGCAGGTGCGTGTAGCTTCCGCTTTGGCTCGAGATCCGTCCTTACTCCCACTCGCAGATGCTCTGCGAGAATTTCATCAAAGGACTCTGCCCGCTGCCGCCCGCGTCGCCTCTGAATCTGACGTCGTGGTTCGCGAAGCCGAAGCCCAATCCGCTGCCCCCGCCGAAACAGCGCAGCGGCAAAACCCTGAAGGTGCTGCACATGTCCGATTTCCACCTGGACCCACGGTACGCCACGGGGTCCGAGGCGAACTGCACCTCGGGCCTCTGCTGCCGCGCGAACAACTTCAACCCGGCGAGCGTGCACACGCCGCTGTCGCCGGCGCCGCGTTTCGGCGCCTACCGCTGGTGAGCACGCCCGTCGCTTCTCTCAGAGGCTCTGTGTGTGCTGATCGAGACTCGAGCGACACGCCGATGGCGCTGGCGGCGGCGGCCGTCGAGGCGATTCCCGTGCTGACCGGGACGCAGGGGGACGGATTCGCGTTCACGGTCTATACTGGGGACCTGGTTTCGCACGATGTCGAAAACCAGCTGTCGCGGGACTATGTGCGCTACACGGAAGTGCGTGTGACTGAAGCGGCGTTGTGGTGCTGTGGGTCTGATGTGCTGTTCAGACCCTGCTGTACGATCTGTTCCGCAAGACGCTCGGGTCGGGGCCCGTCTACGCTGCGCTGGGCAACCACGACTCGTACAACCAGGCGCAGGATGCTCCGCACATGCTCGGCAAGAAGCTCGGCAGCCAGTTCAGTTGGTGGGCACCGCGTTAGATCTATTGGCACTATTATCTCAGGGCATGTCAGGAACTACGACCACGTCGCCGCGCTGTGGGCGCACGAGAACTGGCTCCCGGAAGCCGCGGTCGAGCTCGCCAAGGCGCACTACGCCGCTTACATGGTCCGCCGCAAAGACGGTCTGCGCGTCATCACCCTCAACACCGACTTGTGGTACAGGTGCAGTTCGATGGTCGCCCAGTTCTCGGCCCGTGTTTCGTCTGATGCGTAGTCCAGAGCGAACTACTTCAACTACATCAATCTCGACCAGCCCGACAACTCTGGCATGCTGCGGTTCTTGACTGACGAGCTGCAGGCCGCAGAGGACGCGGGCGAGCGCGGTGAGTCGTTTGTGTCTCTGCGTGTATAAAGTATTGCGGAAGGCTGACCACCGGACTAGTCTGGATCGTGGGCCATGTCCTGACTGGCTGGGACGGCAGCAATCGTAAGATGTCCCGACTACCAATAGCCCAATTACGATCTCAGCGTCCTCCGCAGCACTGGTCAATCCGACGGATCTGTTCTACCAGATCGTGGATCGCTACTCCCCACACGTCATCGCCAGTGCGTGCCTGAGCCCCACCGAATCCCGCAGGCACTGAGCACTGCTATCCCATCCCAGACATCTTCTTCGGGCACACCCACGAGGACCAGCTCACGGTATGTGAGCGAAGATCGGCTCCCGGTCCGTGTTCTGATCCAGCGCAGATCTTCTACGCCAACAACGCCACGAATATCAGCGCGCAGACTGCTTTGACCCAGTCTTGGGTCAGTTGCGTCTCGCACCGCACCAACTTTCCAGCTTATCTGAGCCCCCCACCCCCTAGATCGGCCCGTCGATCACTCCCCTGACGAACCTCAACTCTGGGTTCCGCATGTACGAGGTGGACTCGGCCGTGAGTAGTCTGGTGTGTGTTTTGGAGCTCGCATGCGACTGACCGGGAGAACAGACATTCGATGTCATGGAAGCATACACGTGATCTCACCCTGTGTTTCTATGCGCTGCCGGCGATGTGAGCTCACGCGTTTGCCTTCGCAGGTGGCGCGCAGACGTCAACGCGTTCGGGGCGCTCGACAACCAGACCGAGGTCGGGCCGACGTATGCTTGCGAGTACAGCACGCGTGATGCGTATGGGCCGAGCGTGCCCGGCTGGACGTCGAGCGATCCGCTGAATGCGACGTTCTGGCATCACGTCACGGAAGGTCTGTGTCGTCTCTCGTTCGTGCCGCGACACCCTTCTCTGACGCCCGTGTCCACCTACCCAGCCATGGAAGCCGACCCGGCGCTCGTCACGGTGCGTCGCCGTATGCGAGCCCGTGCCAGACCCCCGCTGACCAATAGTAACTCGACGCAGACCTTCAACACGTTCCAGGGGAAGAGCTCCGTGCTGAGCCCCGCGTGCACCGGCGACTGCGTCAAGGCCAAGATCTGCTACATCCGCAGCGCGTCCGCCGCGATCGCGAAGCAGAACTGCATCCAGGGGTTCGGTTCCGTCCAGTAAATAGCTGTTCCCTGCTCTCGTCTCCCCGCCTCTCCAGTCTAATCAATCTTGTTTGCCTGGATTTTTTTTTTTGGAAACCAAGATATCCTGTGATGATGCCCAATGCCGATGCTCGTGCCGCGGCACTCGGTGTGTGGGAGGAAGATGAGCATCCCGACCGGCAAGCATTTGTGGACTATGATAATGCAGAGCCCCGGGTGTAGAAGATGGGGAGGTTGGCTGTGGACTGTGGATGTCGTGGCTTCACTACACTATATAGAAGCATCGATTATGTTTATGAGCTCACGCTTATTTATTATACACAGTAGTGGTAGACTGGCTGACTGCTGGAAAGAAACCCACGCCGAGCAAGCAGCGGGAGAGCTGCGACTTGGAGCGATGACGATTAAGAAGCGTCCCAGTCGAAGGGCGAGAGGTTGAATGCGGATCACTCGATGGATATTCACAAGATGGGGTATGTACATACAGCACAAAAGAAACCTACCCCATCCACTGTGCCTTACTATATACAATTACAATACACACTCATCGTCAACCCCATCATCACGCAAAGGCGTGCACGACCTCCGAGCGCAGATCGCGGCTGGACGCACCGACGGATATCGTGAATGAGCCCTTGGGAACTAAACCGAAACGATCAGCGACAGCCGATGTGTACCAAGGTCCAACAGCCTACCTCTCCATTTCTGCGCGCTCACGTCCCACACCGACACATCCTTCCGCGTCAGCTCGAACGTCGCAGTGCCCTGCTGCCCCGGCTTCAGGCTCAGCTTGTCGAAGCCGCGCAGGACACGCGGCGGCTGGTCTTCAGCGGCTGGGAACTAAGAAGGAACGTTGAGAAACCGAATGCGACGGCGCAGGAAACATGGCAGACCGAAACATAGAGCTGGGCGACTTCGGCGCCCGCGACCTTCCCGGTGTTTTTGATGGACACAGAAGCCTGTGCGAAGGTCAATACACTTACAACTCACTTTCCAGCAGTCAGAAGTGAACGCACCGTGTACAACACATCGTACATGCTCTTGCCAGAATCCGACGCAAGCTTCACGAACGGCTCGGCGGTCGGTTGCACGGACGTGCTGTCGGCCTTGAAGCTCTTCTGGAGGCTCAGTTTCCCGAAGGAGAACGTCGTGTAGCTCAGTCCGAGGCCAAACTCGAAGCGCGGCGTGATGTTCTTCGCGTCGAACCACTGCGTGCGTACAGTCAGTACGCCGTCCATCTCAGTGCCAACCGCACCGTGCCTTGTAGTCGAGGAGCAGTTTCTCCGTGAAGTTGGCTTGGGGAGCGGGGACGGCGTCGAATACGATCCCGTTTGGCGGCCAGTCTGATCAGCAGATGGTTAGTCCGGCGGCTGCAAAGGTCGACGACACTGGGGTTACTTACCGGAGACGCTCTTGGCGAATGTGTACGGCAGCTTCCCGGAAGGCGAGACTTCTCCCCACAGCACAGGCACGAGACTGCTGCCGCTCTCTTGACCAGGCAGATGGGCGACGAGCACAGCGGTGACCTGCGGCCGAGTGTGAGACTTGGGTACAGAAGAGCGAAACAGGTGACGACACCCACATTCGGATGGTCGATCCAGTCCTCAACAATCACCGCACCCGGAACGTGCAAAACCACGATCGTATTCTTGTTCACCGCTGCAACGGCTTGCACAAGAGCGTCGCCGTTCGGGTATGTCGTGAGATTGGCCCGGTCGTATCCCTCCGACGCAAACGCGCTCAAAAACACAATCGCAGCCTCAGAGACACTGGCCTGCAGCGCCGCCGCCGTCAAGTTGTAGTTCTCCAGATGCTGATTGATATCCGGTCCGTCTGCAGCGACGTACGCGTTGATCGCTGCCAGCGGATCGATCGTGTACGGCGGGTAGGCGAATCCACTGCCCCCGGCCATAGTCACCGTACCGTTGTTGCCCCCCGCAAGGCAGTTGTTGCCGCCAGACCCACAGGCCGTCATGCCAAATGGAGCTGGGCCGGCGTCCTGGCCGATCACAGCCAGCGAGGCCATGTCGGCAGGAGCGGCGAGCGGGAGTCCGCGCCCGCCCGTGCGGTCGTTCTTGACGAGCGTGATCGCCTCCTGCGCAATTTGTCGGATGATTTTGTAGTGGTCCCGGCGGACGTTGTTGGTAGGGACGGTGAGATCGGATTGGTTGAATGTAGGCCGGGGCCATGTTTTCACGTTTTGCAACTCGAGAATGGGGGCCAGCGTGCGCAGAACCTGGAAAAGGGATCAGGCGTACACTTGGGATGAACGAATAGAACGCACCATGTCATCCAATCGTTTCTCCGGAATGGTCCCGTTCTCGACAAGCGCGACCAATTCAGCTCCAAAGAAGTTTCCGTACCGCCCAGCAAAGCCCGTCCCGGGCATCGACACATCAAGCCCAAACAGCGCCGAGTTCTGCGTGTCCCACGTTCCGCCCCAGTCCGAGACCACCGCGCCCTGGAACCCGAGCTCCTTCTTGAGCAGCGTGTTGAGCGCCGGATCGCTCGCGCACGCGTGCGTCGCGTTGATCTCGTTGTAGGAGCACATGACCGTCCCCGATCCGGCGCGCACGGCCTCGGCGAACGGCCAGATGTACAGCTCGTGAGCCGTCTTGTCGTCCAGGTCCGATGAGATGGGGTTCGGTGGGAAGAGCGCGACATCGTCGACGTGGAACGGTTTCCGGTATGTTTCCTGCGGGGGATGAGCACGTGACAGCACCGCGCCAGCCGAGAGTAATCACGCACCTGCTCGTAAGCAAGATAGTGCTTGGAACAGGTGACGACGCCTTCATCTTGCGCGCTCTTGACAGTCAGAAATGACGCGACGCCGTGGAGATACCTACAGGTCATGTGAGTCTCGCTCCGAAACCGTGCTTTTCTAGTACACACGGGTCAGGGCCAAAACCTATCAAAGCATCAGTGACCATTGCAGAACGCGCCAAACGTAGAACCCCGACCTTCCCAAAGCCGGCCGTTAAACGGACTGCGTCCCATGGGCCCACCGGTGACAGGGCCAAGCCTGCGGCAAAGTCGTCGGCGCCGGAGAAACACCGCGAGAAGGTCCACACGCACCAGATGTTTACGCCCTTGTCGTGGAACTCGCGCGCGAGGGCGGTGCCCCGCGCCGCGATCAGGTCGCGGCTCCACGTCGCAGCGGTCGTGATCCCCGCGGGGAACTGCGAGACGCGGCGCGCGGGGCGCACGCCCGTCGGCCCGTCCTGCAGACAGAATCCCGGGATCCCGAGACGCGTCACCTCGCCTGTCACCCCTGCGCACAGGCCGGGGAATCCAGTCGTGATGTTCACCTGGCGGCGAGTGAGATGGAACTCAATAGGGTGGATGCAGGAGATGCACCTTCTCAGGGATTGTCTGTGAGGATGTGTGAGCCTGAGAACATTGTCAAGTTCGGAAAGTACGACACCATCTGAGCGAGCAGAGCCTTGGCTTCATGAAATCCTTTGGTCCACGAGCCGCCGTCAGCATAGGGACCGGTGTAGCTCTCCGCATCGGACGCGCCGATGAGCAAAAGCAGAGCAAGCAACTGCTTGAGATTCGTCTGCAAGCCCAGCATCGTGTCGCAGGACAGACACGTCTCTCTTATTCCCGGCTTTTTATACCCCGCCCTCCGGCCCCATATCGCGTGCTGGAGAAATGCGGGGGCAGATGACCTGCTCCCGTGGGGAAATGCATTGCATAAAATTATGGCAAATCCGCGCGACGAATCAGGACATCAGTGAAGGCTGGCCCGGGTCGGTGTCGGTAAGATGAGATGAGCAGCGGCTGCTGCTTCTTTCTCAACACAGCGGGTGAGTCAGCGCTTGGCGCGGTGCAAAGCGGTCAGGTGGTGCGGTCCTGCGCCCGGCGCGCGACGCAAGATCTCTGTGCCGCAGAGAGGGTGCAGGTCACAGGGGACGGGATGAATTCAAATGCCGTGACTCCACGGCTTCGAGGGATTTCTGGTCGAAGTTCGAGGAGGATGAGGGGTTCGATTCGGACCGCTTGCCGATTCGCGCGCACAGCCTCAGGTTCTGAGACCACGTGTGTGGTCCGTGCACGCTCAGCGCTGGCTATATAATGCATAAGTCCACGATTGTGTTCCCCATCTCTTGTGCTCGGGCACGTACCATCGGAAGTGAGGTTAACACCGATCCATGGTCTTTTGCTGATTGCAAATTATATCCGAACCGTTCGTCTGCTTCATGCTTACGACAATTTTTGGAACCCCCTGCTTTCTTTCCTGTGAAGCTGTTCTTGCGGCTGAGGGGGAATTTATGTACGCATGTAGTAAATCATGAATTCAATTCGACTACCCCGATTATTCATATAGTGTGAACTATGCCTGCTCTTTGTGCTCATCTAAGGGTCTGAACTTGGATGTCAATCCTATGAATATTACGCCCATCAGTCCTAGACAAACGGAGAAAAAAGAACAATCCCTTCAGCCCCATTCAGAAGACCCAGAGATGGTTGGCCATTTGTATGGCTGGGCCATCATTTGTTTCTTTGTAGGCGCGAGTCGAAGGACCCAAGATTCTCTGCTAGCAGTAAAGTTTCTGAATGGATGTTGGTTCTACCTTGAGTGAGCAGCGCCGCCCACCAGGCTGTAAGCCCCTATCATCACAGCAACAGTCCCGCGGATATATTTGGACAAACACGTGGTGACCATGAACCTTTTTCGTGGCGCCCACAGTTATGTCGACGTCCTTTCTACCCTGTGCCCACCCAACTCGTTGTTATCTTCCCCGCAGCCTGCATCAACCGAGCTGATACTTCACGGCATAGACTATTCCCCCTAATCCTCACTGGCAGGCCCGTGATTCTGTGACTTCCCACCGAGCTTCTCGCTGGCCTGCGGCATCTTCGGATTCGATGACAGAATATGACTTTAGCGAGGAAGCGTACACCGCGTATACTCAGAAGCAGGCCGAGATCGGGGACTGGGCCTCGAGCGTACCCAGGCGGCGCCGATACCTCGTCAATCCCGAAGCCGCGCCCACGCCATCGCCGAGCGTGCTCCGCGAGGTGGAAGACGCGGACGAGCCGGGGGCGAGACGCCACCGCCGGACACACTCCCACGACGGTGGTGGGGACGGCGGGGAAGGCGTCTATCGCGCCCGCCACAAGTCGCACGAACGGGATGCGGAACGAGAAGAACACTACCACCACCACAGAACTAGATCGCGCGATGACGAAGAGCGGAGGGGGCGGCGCGGGGCGTCGCGGGAGGAGGAACGCAGCCGGAAGCGCACCGACTCGCAGGAGACCGAACGGAGCGCCAAGTCGCGTGATAAATCCCGCAGACGCGATCCTCCCCTCCGCATCGACATTCCGCCACCGATGGCGCATCCACTCCCGCGCCGAAGCCACTCCGGGCCTGCGAGACCCCGGACCGCCCCTCCGGAGCACTACCCAGTGAGCGCGGAAGAGGCGAGAGCCTGGCACCAGCTGCCTGTCGCTGCTCAGCCGCATGCTATTACTCCGCCTGCGGCCTTTTACGGCCAATATCATCAGCCTGCTCCCATGCACCCAACTGGGTATGCGCAACGGGGGATGCCTCCGATGGCACAGAACCAGTATCCTATGCCTGGCCCTGGGTATCATCGACCTCCGCCGCATCTGGCGATGCCACCCCCTCAACATCATCGCTCTTATTCTGCCCAAGTCCAAGCCCCGATTCCCCTCCAGACGCACCAGCGCAGCCACTCCTTCGGTCAGACCGCCCAAGGCAGAGAGCGCGTCCCGAAAGGATATATTTACCACCCTGGTGGACAGGTCGCCGCCTCGCCGACGTCGGCCTATCCCCCACCAATGCATCGTTCGCCTGAGGTGATGCAGATGTATGCCTCCCAGCAGCCACAGAGTCCGACGAAGGAGCCCTCGCTCATCAAGCGGATGATGATGAAGCTGGCCCGCCCAAGCAGCAGAGCAGGTCGGCCCAGCGAGCGGAGCCACACGGATCCTCTCGAAACCACCAAAAGGAGCCACAGTGCTTCCCGCCTGCCGTTCCGCCGCAACACATGAAACGTCCTGCCCAGATACTTACGTGTACTGATATTATCTTTCTCCGATGTGTATGTGATGCTGTATCTCTAGTACATACATAATACACAATTGTAATCAGGACTCAGCGTTGCCGTTAGGATTACGTGCGCACCAGTACGGAGAAAGAGCACCAATTAGCGAACCAATATCCAACTGGTTCCCAGTCCAGCCCATACCCTCACATCCGTGCTTGCAGGGCCAGCCCATACCAGGGTAGGAATGTGAGCGTCCTGGGTAGTCCCGATGCCAAGATTCCCGTGCTCGTTCCATCCCCATCCCCAGACCTCCGTGCACTCTCCACGGAACAGGGCCAGGACATGCTCGCTGCCAGCCGCGACCTGGAGGAGTCGACGGCCATCGCGCTCGAAGGGAAATCGGACAGCGCCCAGCGGTCCATCTGGCGGTCTCCCCAGTTGGCCGTGCAGATTGCTCCCCACAGAAAGGACGGTCCGGTTCCCAGGCTCGCCCGCTTCCACGTACGAACCGTTCCATGTGCAATGAGCGACGGGATCGACGCCATGGCACCCCGCTCCGATCTCGAGCTGCTGTTTCCGGTTCGACCCTAGCCCGGAGACGCGCCCGAGATCGTCGACGAGCAGTGTATGCTGGTTGCCCAGCGCCGCTTGGGAGATCGCGGGGGAGGGGATGATCGAGGGTGAAGTGGCGAAGGGGGATTCGGCATGCGGACCAAGCTGGCCGTGTCTTGACGCACCCCATCCGACGAGGACACTGGCATCATCCGCAGTGCGCAGTTTCACGACGACGTGGTGGGGCCCCGTCGATATCCAGTCTACATGCTGCATTTCGCTAGGAACGCATCCGAATGGGACGACGTGAGGATCACGCGAGGGCCGTTGGCCAGGTCCATTTTTCACTCCGATTCCGAGATCACCAAAGTCGTTCGCACCCATGGAAATGAGCACGTCAGACTGCCCTGACGAAGACATCACGACGTAAGAGGTCTCCCAGCACGCCGCGATGAGACGGGGGCGACGCCCCGACGATTCGATCGCCAGCGGCCTGAAGGACGTAATACTGGCATCTTCAACCACAGTCCCAAGCTGCCCAGCGCGCCCATCTCCGCACCCCCAAAGCTCGGTGTGCGCCTCAGCGTCGTCGCCGAATCTGAGCAGTGCTAGTGTGTGATTCGCGCCAAAGGCGAGGTCGAGGACGCTTGCGCTTGCGGGGAGACCATTAGTGCCCGTGAAACCGCAGGCTACGAAAGAGTGCGCATCGTCAAGCGATCCATTAGAGAGCTGACCGTGGGCATTGGAACCGGAGGAAAGCAGCTGCATCAATCTTCCAATCAATGTCAGACTCTTTGGAAGGCTGTCTGTCACGTGGCTCGTCTCAATCTGCTCTCCAATCACTGACGCGTCACTGGCACTGAGAGTGCAAGTCGGAAGACAAGATTTTACACTCAACTGCAGAGGTCATACAATAAATTCGCTCGCCCGCGCGCGGAAACTTGAAAGCGACTTCTCTAAGAACATATCAAAAACTGAACTAGGACAGGTCTGCAGACTCACTCTGGCAGATCACATTTAATGGGAGCTAAAAAGAATCAATTATATTACACATATTGTTGTACAAAAAATGTTTTAAATAGTCTAACCAATATGTAAACTATAATGCCACCTAAAAGAGTTCCCATTTTGTCAACTATTGGATGATAAATTGGGGCGATAAATAGATGCAATACTGCTACTCATTTTTGTTGACTCATTTATGTATGTATTGAGTTCAATATTGAGGCCAACCAAAAGTCCAAACATATTTTGACACATTTTGACTCTCAATATCACCTAAAATGAGATCAGAAATAGTTACTATGATATTAGTCATATTGCAGCCCATAATGAGAGCGCACTTATATCATAGATATTGGGTCAAAACAAGTGGTGAATCATCAGCTGACAGATATTTTTGACACCAATATCTATGATATAAGTGCGCTCTCATTATGGGCTGCAATATGACTAATATCATAGTAACTATTTCTGATCTCATTTTAGGTGATATTGAGAGTCAAAATGTGTCAAAATATGTTTGGACTTTTGGTTGGCCTCAATATTGAACTCAATACATACATAAATGAGTCAACAAAAATGAGTAGCAGTATTGCATCTATTTATCGCCCCAATTTATCATCCAATAGTTGACAAAATGGGAACTCTTTTAGGTGGCATTATAGTTTACATATTGGTTAGACTATTTAAAACATTTTTTGTACAACAATATGTGTAATATAATTGATTCTTTTTAGCTCCCATTAAATGTGATCTGCCAGAGTGACTATTGTTTTCCGCCATTCCCGGAGCAGGAGGTCTGTGTGTGCTCTACGTCGGCTGTCTCCGGCTGCTAACTACTTGGGCTCAAAGTCAAACCCAGCTTTGACCGCTGGAAGCTGTGTGGTACAAACGGGGCAGGGGGGCCGCTCATGTGAAGATCTTGTGGACCAGATGACCATTCCCGGACTTCACCGGTCTAAATTATCAAATATGAGGATACGTGGGCCACTTTCCTTCTCACGCTGAGCCGCTGGTGCATTCCTCGCCAGGCACGGGACGAGCAGCCCTACTTGACACGGACACAACAGATTGGCGACGGCCAACCAAGGCTGCAGCCGAGCCAAGTGCTACACAGTACATATACGCATTCGCAGAGAAGTGTTGAAACGTACAAGAATCGTATAGGCGCGCACCCTTGGCTTCGCCTGGGCGCTCCGGAGGCTAGCACCTTCCATTCTGCTTGCCTGCAAACTGTAGCAACGGACCCAAGTTGGCATTATTACGCGTGGAATATTCAACAATGATATTATTACACGAGCGGAAGATACGCCATCGTGATTCACGGCGAGGACGACACGCCAGACTCCGCCGGTGCAGAGGACGTAGGGGCTTTGAGCGTGTCCTTGATCTTGTGCCACTTGGCGGTGGCCAGAGCCCGCCTGAACGACGATACCAGTGAGCACACAGCGTGCACGCGACAGCACGGACGGCGTACCGTTCTTGGTGCGTCGCGACATTCGGCTCCTCCTCCTTCAGACGAGCGAGCTCCTCAGACTGTCAACCAGGGTAACGCGTCAGGCGTAAGAGCAAGGGCCGGGATGGGCTCGTCGCACCATGAACTGCATGTATGCAGGCGCTACGCCTTTTCTCTTCGATCCTCGCGCTTCTGCAGATGTAGTCAGCGTCGAGTCGACCGACGAGGAAACGATGCACTCTTGCTGCTCGCGGTGGGAGGAGACGACTTCATTGTAGCTGGAGCGGTGGGAAGTGGTGGATTTTGAGGAGAGGGAACTAATGGGGAAAATTCCCTCAAATCGAAGCGAACCGTGTATTCATACGAAGCCCTGACACAACCCTGACAGCAGACTATGTTTGGCGTTTAGGTAACAAGAAAAGTGGAAGGGAACGCGACGGAAAGACCGAGGATTGGCAGCAAATATATGTGGCATTGTCCCAAAGATCATTACCACACAGACATATGATATGATTCCGAATGGTGCAGAAACGGAAAGGTCGAACAGTGGACGTGACATGTGATGGTATGCACATGGTACGAATTCACGTGATGTGACACTTCGCGACTGGAAGTAAATTCAAATAGCCACATCTTTCGAAGCGGGAGCAGATGCGCTTGGGGCCCCAACGATGCTCTCGAACATATTGCGTCCATTGATGATACCCGTTGTGGCAATCAAGAATTTGCGGCCTGCCAGGAAAGTCAGCAGATGTTGACAGTGAGAGGCGCAGCAGTGACCTTTGTTCTGTCGACCGACCCATCTGAGCGCCGCAATCTCAGTGTAGGTGCAGCCACCAAGGAAGAACACGAGCGTCGTGGTAGGTTTGTGCATCGGGCGCACTATCACGTCACTATCAGAGCCATGTAACGTCACGATTCACACTCACGTAGCGAAGCCATAGGTGCAGGAGTCGTGCTGGTGCCGCTTTGGACGACATCCACAGTTTCTCCAGGGATGGTGGCGACGATATCTTCAAAGCCGCGCCACCCAGCAATTGGATGGGCTTGCGCTTTGATATGAGTCTGCTCGACGCCAGCTTTCTCCTTCTCGGCGGGATTGCTCAAGACGCCACCCTTCTGAGCAACGCACTGCACTAGTCTGACACTGATCGGGGCATAGCCCGAGTAGACAAAGCTGATGTCGTTCTCCACTTCGTCCAGTGCCTCCGGCGTGTCGTCGATCAATAATCGCAGAGACTTGCGGACAGCAGAAAATGGATATTTATCTGAAGCAGGCGTTGCAGGAATGTTTGGCAGGAGTATCGCAAGCGGATGCGAAGAGATGGCCAAGAGGAGAGGGAGGAAGTTGTAGCCGTACGCCTGGGCTTCCGTTGAGGTCCTGTTTAGACGAAGGAAACTGGACGCTTACCTGCAAGATCTCACGTTTGAGATTCTCGAGAGGTTTTGGTTTGATGCCTCCAGCAGTGATGCTGGCGAGACAAAGAAGCCTGAGAACGGTCTGCATGTCAGCACCTTGGGCAATAAGGTCTTCAATAGCGGTAATCTGGTTGGAGACTTCGTAGGATGCAAGCAGGTCTGAAGGGGTGTTAATGAAGAGCATCGCATTTCTCAAATCAAGACCCACTCTGCTGGATCTCGAGCGTTTTATTGAATATATCCGTTCTTGTCATCGGGACAATGATTTCAGACAGGCCAGTGTCTGAATATATCAGAGAAAGAAATGAAAAGGGTACTGACGCGACGTACGAAGACGCAAAGATTGGTGCTCACTCTGCAGGCCGCCCAGCTTGCCAACAAAGTCTCGCAACTGAGCAACAGTCTTGGCTTGATGACGTCCCTACAGAGTTGAACGTCACGAAGGAGGGCATGCACACAACTCACCTTGTAATCCTCGTCTAATCTCCGAGCGACCTTGTTCAGCCTCCTCCCAATAGCTGAAAAGTTCAAGTCTCGCAGTTCAGCAAATAGCGGATCTGTGGAGGTCGACAGATGGTGCTTCTTCTTCGCCTCAACTTTCTTCAAAGACGAAACTGGCGCGGCCGGTGGGTTTACATTGGCCCCCGGTGCTGGCGGCGATAACAAGGACACGGGAAGCTCGACATGAGCTGGGAATCAGTCAGCCCCCGGAACAGTCGGCACAACGTCTCTACGTACAGTTCTTGATGCCAATGAGTTCATCTGTTAGCCCTTCGTACGTGAGCTGTGTCAAAAGCGGCGTGATCATATCAACACGGCGGTCCAAGATAATGAGGGAGTCGATCTTTTCCGACTGTGTTTGAAGGAGATCGGGAGCAGCTGCGTCGGTCGGTAATGGTCGGCCTAATAGCGTCGAGAGGCGCTAGATCCCCAAGTCAGACGAAAGAGAGAGAGTCAGATATATTGCCACGTACCGCAGCATGATCACCTTTGGCTACTATCCTCGGAAACAAGCCATACAGCTTCTCCAGGGTCACCAGTGCTTGTGCAGAGTCGTATATGGCAGTTTCGTCTCCATCCTGTATCGAATGGGCGATGAGAACATAGTCCGAGTGGGCACGTACCACCCAGATTTCCTTGAAAGCCATCTCATTCTCCAATGATATCACGTCGTCGGCGATGGGGATGAACTGCAAGTTGTACGATGCAATGTGCACATCTCCCAAGACACCCTCTTCCTCCAGAATTCGAGTCGCGAGTGTGGAAATGCGGGGTACGAGGAGTAGCGTGTAGGTATGCTGTTGACCCTCCTTCGCATGTCGCTTGATTTGATCTATGCAAATGAGTCGAAAGTTCGATGTGAACTGAGAAGGCACACCTGCAATGATCTTGATGTGCTTTATCTTGGGCCGACAGAGGTACACGATGTTGGTCGTCGTGGATGTCAATGGCCCTCCCTCCAGCCAAAACATCTTGTCCACACCATGATGCTGCAAGCCCGACTGAGCAGTGTCGTTGGCATAGACGTGTCGTCGCACCTTCAATAGCGACACTTCAGTCACAAGACCGAGAGGCCCAGCCAACGTCGCATCTAAAACGAGCGTCTTCGCGCCGTTGACCTGACGCGAGCGTGAGTTTCGGCACGCATCTATCGCATAGCTCGTACAGCGTTGAGCGCGTCCACAAGCGACTTCTGTGCAATTTCCTTGAGGACGTTGACATCGAGCAGGGGCTCTTCCTGTAGTGCGGGCGCAGCTTCGCCAGGTGTGGACTCGGCGGTCGCCATCAGAGGCGTGCTTGCCTTTTCGGGAACGACCCCATTTGTAACAACTTGCACGTCATCTCAACTCGTGCCGACTTCACTACTGGTCTTTGATCTTGGAACTACAGGGCGCTAGAGACTAAAATTCTAGCGCTTGGGCTGTTGGGACTTTCATGAGACTGAAACTGGGTTTCTTACTGCCCATGATGCGCTGCTGCCAATCACGCTTACGTTATGCTCACTTTCCTGCTGCGATCCAGCACATCCGTTCGCTTTCTTTCCAGAAGCTCCTCCTTCTCTGCCATGAAGTACATCTCCGGAGAAGTACGATTCCGTTTCGTGGGAAAGACCAATCCCGCCTCAAGCACTGCGCTCACAGGAGCTCGCCGAGATAATCAAGAGTGATCAGCTAGTGAACAAGGACTATCTTGTGGTGGATGTTCGCGACGATGACTTCGCCGGCGGCAATATCAAGGGGGCTCAGAACGTCCCTTCAAGATATTTTCATACGAGCGTGTATGACCTGGTCAAGAAGAAGGAAGATGTCAAGGCCATGGTGTTTCATTGCGCACTCTCCCAAGCGCGGTACGTCTGTCACACGCTGACCGTAATCCCCCTACTCAAAATGTTTAGTGGACCCAAAGCAGCTCGTGTATGTCCATTTCGTACTATCAGACGCTCGATCCGGGATTCATTAATGTGTGTGCAAGATCTACGAGGAAACGCGAAGCAACTTGAAGCTCGATGGCACGAAACCACAAGAGATTTATGTTCTTCGAAACGGTTTCACCGAATTTCAAAAGAAGTTTAGAGTAAACTCAATGGATGCTTGTCTTGTCGACATGACTGATCCCTTCATTGCAGGAGGACCCTGTGCTAGTCGAGAATTGGGATCCAGAAGTGTGGGAGAATGCAGAAGATTGGAGCTAGGGGGAAGGATTGTACGCTATTTTGAGTCCGGATTCGCGTCTTCGCTCTCTCTTTTGAGTCGCAGCTGCTTTGGGAGACTCTCGATGACCGTTCTTGTGACCCGCTGCTCGTTATCTAATCGCCTCATACAAATGAACCTGAATGCTCAGCTAAGATCATCCATGTCAGGAGTAGCGAGCTGTACGTACCAAGAGGCAGTAGAAATCAGAGCGAATGTTCCGACTGCCCAATTGCCCGCCACAATGGGGGCTAATGTACATGAATGTCCACCCACTAGGGTTGAGCGTCGGACGTACGTGAGGACATGGCACGAATGAATCCAATTCCTACTCCACTCGCAATGCCACTGAGCAAGCTATTTCGCGCGCAAGGCACTTCTCCGATGTGCATGGCACTCTTCACTAGCACACGACGCCGTTACAACAGTTTCTTCGACGTCAATGCGATCTTACTCGTAGAGAATCATTCACGAGATTTCCTGTGGATGGCGGGCCCATAGGAGGTGGAGCTGGAATACTGTCCAGGTTGTCCACGACGCCCGAAGTGGGTTTAGAGTCGGACATGGTGGAAAACAAGAAGAAGTGATCCGCCATCAACTTCCTCATAAAGTTTTGCTCCCCGCCCCCACCATGACGGCGGAAACTCAGAAACTGAAAGCCAAGCTCGGCCTTCTGAACACGGGTCTGACTACTCTGGAGGATACTTTGGCTCCGCTACTAGAACAGACGCTCCCAGAAACTCTGGTTAGCCTCAACTCCATCGAACAAGCAAAACTGCAGACACTCCTTCCTTACATTATCAACGACCTCATCTTCAGTGCGCGGAACTCTTCCATGCCGCTATCTCGATGACAATTTCTAGTCTATCTGAAAACGAACGGGATCGATCCCAAGACACACCCGGTACTGGAAGAATTGGTACGCCGCGCGGTCGCGATCCCTTGTAACCTCCCTGACGAACTTCAAGGCACGCGTCAAACGCTATTTTGACAAAATTTCTTCTGCCGAGAATCCAGAGACACGTACGGGCACGCTCTTTTCGCTGCATACCGTGGCTTACATGCCCTGCAGAAAAAACGGGTATAGACAAGGCCGCCGCTACCCGCTTTATCAAACACGCTATTGCACAAAACAACTTCGCTCAAGTAGGAAGTTCAAGCACGACAGTCGAATCTCAGCCGTCGACATTTGTCCCCCCGAGGACTACAAGTAAAATGGTAGAGCGCACAAAGTATCAGGAGGAGATGCGAGCGAAAGGAGACGAGAGCTCTTCGGAGGACGAGTTGGAAATTGTCGATGGAGCTGAGGCTCCAGTTACGGTCTCGAGCAAGGGCAAAGGGAAGCAGAAAGAGACTGAGGACTCGACGAGCTCAACAGCTACAAAACGAAAGAGACATGCTATGGACCCTTTTGCTGCTAGTGGTCGGTTTCTCCAATTTCGCAGATGCTACGAGATCTCAATCCGATCTGAACAGGTCTCGATGATGGCAGCAAGTCTGAACCAATTTCAGTGCAAGCAGCAGATGCATTGGAGTCAGCCAAAAAGATGAAGGGCAAGAAAGAGAAGAGGAAGACCAAACGATCCGACTCCGCGACTACCGATGCAGCTCACAGTAACTCAGAATCGACGAAGTCTGCAAAAAAGAAAAAGACAAAAAAGGCGACTTAGTTATATTTACATTGATTTCAGTATCTACTATGCATTCTGTACAACAGTCACTCTTTCTTCATCGCTTGCTGGACCGCCTCCAGCACTCGCGGATGGACATCCTTCCCAGCAGCAATGACCCCGAAGTTTTCTCCCAGAGTTCGTCCGAGCCCGAAGTCCAAGGGGTGTCCACGCGAATCACTGATGATTCCACCGGCCTCCTCGACAAGCAGTGCTCCGGGTGCGTGATCCCAGATCTTTTCGCGGTAGCCCACGCCGGTGGGCATGCGAAGATACATACCGCCATCGCCGCGGACCAAGCAGCCGTATTTGGCCTGACTATCCATGCGTACAGGCGGCCGCGTGATGCCGAGGATAGTCGAGATGGTGTCAGTTGTCGAATGCGACGAATGGGCAGCCTCCACCGATTCCAATGAGCAGAGGTCCTCGGGCGCGAAAACAGGGATGGTGAGAGACTTCGCGGGACCTCCGCTGAGAGGGATCTGCGAGGAGTGTCAGTCGTCGTAGAGAGAACCAATTGGAAACGCACCATCTGACAGCCCTGGCCGCGGATGGCTAGGAAGATGCATCCGCGCTCTCCATCTGGCTTTGATGCGTCCACAGGAAGATTGGGGCACCCGATAATACCGAGTTGGACTTGAGCATCGGCCAACAGGGAAACACAAACAGCGTATTGTTCTCCCCGCAGGAAGCCCTTGGTTCCGTCGATGGGATCTATGGTCCACATCCCTGAAAGATCACATGAGAAACCTGAGAGGAGAGCTCTACCCAGTATCAGACGCACGTCCTTGCCGTCCGCCCTCGTGGTTGCCTCTGTCGATCGCATCCAGGAGCTCATCGGTCGTCTTCGTCTGGCCGGGACCGATGCCCCATTCCGCCTTGTCGCCGTCACCCAAAGGCGCCACGATCGCCTCGTTAGCGAGTTCAATGATCCTGTCCTTCAGGACCTTGCCCGACTCAACGCGCAGATCGGCAGCATCTTCCTCCCCAACGATCTTGTCATCAGGAAACGCGTTCTTGAGCATGACACTGATCAGCGCTTGCGCGGCATAATCTCCAACTAGCGGAAGGAACGAGTTGAGAGGAGGCGAGATGCACGCAAAGCACGCTCACCGGTAACAGGGGACTTGTCGCCCTTGACCAAGGTCTCGTTTTTAATGAGCTTGTTGAACACCGCGGACGTCAAGGCGCATGCCCTGCGCACTGCAGAGATGCTGAGCTCCCGTTCTGCCGCGAATGCGTTGTTCGACATGGTGGAATAGAAAGAAGGATGGAATTGGCAAGAGACAAGTGTGCGCGTGAGCCTATAAAGCATCCAACACCACGACGCTCGGTCCTTGATCTACCTGCTTAACGTCGGATCGAACCCCCACGTGGGAATCCCTGCACGTCTCTTGTCGTTGAGAAGATGGACCGGCGTGTGCCAAGAGGGACTGAATCGAGGAAAGTATTGGTTTACCTGACTGAAAGTCGCACTCAGTCCATCGGCGCGCAGCCCCTTGCAGTACGAAGTAATGGTAACACAAATGTGAACGTACTACACAGCGAATCTGCGTCAGCAATGCAGGCTGGGGTCGAGTAATTGCGCTCTGAGTGCTGTAAAGCTTGTCCGAAAAGTCCGAAAGAGGAAGGAGGAGGAAGGGCAACTAGTCTTGCCGACAACACTTTGGGAGAGGATTCGGCCGAAAACCGAGTCAAGATGTAAGTCGGCTGTATTCGGATCTAAGTATCCGCGGTGGCTAACATCTGCTGGGAGCCTGAGGCTGAGGAAGTGCCCGCCCACCTTGAGTTCGGACCGTTTGAGTCGACGAATCACTGCGCAAGTGAAAGTGTTCGCACACTGAACTAGTGTCTATCAGATCACGGATCACCGATCCACGCAGCAAGGAAGACATCTCCGGACCCCATCTCCGATACAATATATTGGTGTTAAAAGTCTTAACGTACAACAAAGTGGATTATGCGTGTATACAATTACTTTGAACTTTCAATTACAACGTGCGAACGTCAACGAAAAGTCTGACGGTGGAAGGACAACAGCAGTTCCGCATCCTGAAAGTCCTGGAAAGAGAACCTGCTGCTCGCATCTATGTTTAGTTTCTCGTCCTCGTGGAGATGGGAGTGACACGAGGAAGGAGTGAAGACCTCCTGCTCGTCGTCGCTCGAGTGAGCCTCTGCCGAGGACGGCCGAGAAGGGGTCGATCTCGATGTTTCGGAAAGATAGACTTTCTCGTTTTCCCCGACATCAAACTCGTCCTCGCTGACCTGCTGCTCCGCGCGCTTGGCGCGCTTACGCGCAGATTGCCGGATGTTCCGGTACCAGTTGGTCACCTTCCCAAGATCCATCCCTATCTCCCGTGCGAGGGCCGACCGCTCCTCGATCGACGGATTAAGTGTTTTGCTAAGCAGCCTGCGGAGATTGTGGAGCTGGAACGGATCAGGTCGGCCTCGTCTTGGACGCGCGGCAAGTGCCGAGAGATCTGAATACGAGGGAGGGGCGTCATGAATGGGGGAATCTTGATCTATATCCATTGGCGTATGACTTGCAGACAGCGAAGAAATCGGTGGCAGTGTGACCGGGCGTGAGTCAACATAATGCCTGGGTGTCTGCGAGTACTCGTACGACTCCTGCGCTCGCGCTCGTCGTTTGAACCATTCGACCACAACCTGATGGGGCCTGTCAAAGTACAGCAGATCAGCATGACGTAAGTGATATGATCAAGGAGACCGTACATCCTATAGTTGTCTGCAATTGCTGCGCAATCGTCGAAGGAGGGGAAAGGACGGCTTCGATAGATGTGCTCGAGGTCGTTCCCTCGGACGGGGGACAAGCCTAGGTCGTCATGCTCGTCGTGGGGCCACAATTGAATTTGATCGGTTGACGGATGCAATTGATTGAGCCGACCCTGATCAAGCGGCGGTGCCAGTGATCGGAAGGACCGAGCCATGAGCGGTAACGGCGCGTGAGGCAGAGGATGGTATTCCTCGAGGACTGTGTAGGTCGGAGGGAGGTAGGGGGAAGGGAGCGGGCGGGCGGCGTCGTACGGGATGCCTCGTGGGTGCTTCTTTGAAGAAGCACGCTTATTTTGAAAGTATGCGTTGACGCTCTTAAGCTCTCTGCACGCTCTCCGTCAAGAAAGGAGCTGGAAAAGAATGAAGGAACGCACAAGCCCAAAGAATGTGCCAACGCCGTGCGCTGCGACAGGGAGGGATGGTCGGTTTCCTCGAAGAGCCCATTCAGGGCTGCGAGCTGAACAGCAGAGTGACGATGGCGAGGTTTCTTGGGTGCCGGAGGGAGGGGGGTGTCGAGAATTTCAGCGGGGAAGGGAGACATGACGGTGTAAGTGAAGGAAGAGGTCTAATGTGCCATATGACAAATTTGGTTTCTCCCAAGGATGGCAGGTGCGAGTATATTGGGGTGTCACTTTCGGGGATGATATAATGCTCGCGATCGGCACTTTGATGGCAACTCAACAAAGTCCCTTCTCACGAGTCACATATCCTAGCAGAAGGATTGCACACCAATGCGGACAAATTGTGTATGTACTTGCTGAGTGGATTGGAACAGCTTCCCGCGCTGGCAGAGCCCTGTATGCTATCAGTATTCTTAGTCATACACAGCGGAGATCACCGTCGATCTTTTCCCAGCCGGACTTTCCAAGGATGCAAATCCGGCAGGCGGTAAAAAGATGTAGCTCAGGGGGAAGCGACCAACGAGGGACCAGATCATCCATTGTCAACTACTACTTAGTCTCTTTCAATACACTAGAGGAAGGCAACAGTGACCATGTCATGCTTACATACATGCTAGCCTCAGGGCTGAATCTAACTGCCAGATCGATAAGATAATCTACGTCCATTCTAAAAATACAGGATAAATACTGGGCAGTACATGGTCGGATTAGCTGTCTGCATCTTCCTCGCTTTGTATGTTCTTCAGCCACGCCCCGATTGAGCCTCTGAAGACACATGAGTATGGCGAACTGATGGTGGGTTGGTGTCACTGACAAAAATCCCTCATGTCGGAGGAACAATGCTCGCTTTGACCCTTTGCTCCAGAAACGGATAGCATACGAGAGTGTACCAATCGTCGCAGCATGTCCTGTGAATGTCTTAATCACAGGGAATCTGGAAAGAAGGTGAGAACCCACCCCGAATGAAACAACCACCGAAGTATATCCTATCCAAGTTGTACTTTTCTGCGTTCATATATCTGTGCGGTTCCATTCAGCAGTGCAGAAAACCGATATTGCCAACACTTACGCAATCTGTCCAATGTTGTTGGAAACCGCATAGAGAAGACTGCGGCTAATGTCCTCAGGAGAGAAGGTTCCCTTCTTGCTGCCCTTCTTGAACACCTTCCCGAACGAGCTGGCAATCATCGTCGACTTGAGACCGAGACGACTGTAATCTTGTCCGTATATGTCTCCAACAAGCATATCGACAGTCGCGTTGTCGCCTTTTTCCGAGAAAGCCAGCATTTCTATGACACGTCAATAAGTGCTGTGCAGAAACGGCCCTGGAGACGCACCATCAAATGTTGTCGCAGGTGTCAAGAGGCTGAGAAGACCCCACAGCGTTCCTCCGCCTAGACTCGTTCCACTGACTCGCTCGAACTTGCCATCCTCGTCTACTTTTATGATCGAAACACCAGAACCAATGTTGACCAGCAGACAAGGCAACTGCGGGCTGGGGTTGCTCTCGAACGTGACGGCATACGAAGGCGGTCGGGGACTGGGCCGTTCAAAGACGTCTGGAGGTGCTTCTAGCGAAGCTCCAACTTGCGTCACCGAGTGGATGAGTTCGTCAGAGAAATAGTAGACTTCGTCCGGAATGAGAGTGATGAATTTGAGGCCTTCGATGAGGCACTCCATTTCATCTTCCCGACGGACCTCCACGCACAGGGTCTCGCGGAAGAGCTCGTAGAACTTGTGGGCGCCTCCGCCCGTCGCCATTATCTTCACGCTCTTGCGCATCTCCTCAATCGGGACCCCATTCACTTCCGCAGACCGCTGGATAAGAGACTGTATGAATTCGACGCAATCATCGATCGAGTCCGTTTCGTAGCGCTCGAAGTTCAAAGATCCCCCGGGAAGTTTTGTACCGTCCGCCGCAAAATCGTATCGCGCGCGAAGGACCACCCGTCCCCGAGTCCCATAAGCGCGGATGCACCGTCAATGTGCGCATCGCCGAGGGCGAGCGGTGTAAGCGCGCCATTAACGCGTTTGATCGCAGGGAGGGTAGTGGAAGACGAATCGGTTTCGTTGGGTGGTGTGAGTGATCGTAGGCTATCGGGTGACCGGGACCCGGCAGTGGCAATAGCGGAAGGAGATGACGGAGGTTCCGGGGACCTGGTGAAGTAGACGACCTTGGCTAATGACCCTCCCACCTGAACGGAGTATATGAGACTCAGGAGATCAAAATGGATGGGAGGTGCCTACATCGACTGCAATGTGCGAGACAGGTTCAATGTGATTGGGTAGGTAGATTCCCCGACTATCCCTCGTCTAAGTACCGGGTGTCAGCAGGGACCACTGACGAGTAAGCTTCGGTCCGGTCCTCACCTCTGGCGATTCTTCAGAAAGAATGACTGCCCCACGGGTATCGACTTGGATGACCTTTGCGGAGGGCAACATTGGAGGAGGACGAGAAAAAAGTTGTCTCAGATGTCGTATCAGTTCATGTATTGCCGCGAGAGCATTTGTAGGAGACACAACCGAGATGAGAGAGTTTGGGGTCTTACGATCTAAAATGGGGCGTATTGCTAAGCGTGGCTACCCATCCGCTGTCAATCGGCAATCGGCCCCGCAGCCACCGAGATCTTCCTATCACGCGATTCATCCAGCTCTAGCAAAACTTCCACAGTTCTTTTGCACATGGAATGTAGAATGGGTTTTCACATTCCAAGGCCGGTGCTTTTGCGCGTCCGCTCTCGCGGACATACAGGAAGAAACGGAACATTGGGCGATGAATGGTAAGTATTTATCGCGACAGCAATCCAGTCAGATAATTGGTACGATGCGTACACTACCTGCACCATCGGAGCTCATATCACAGTTTCACACCAGAGAGTTACATACGACCTGAATGTCGATGAAGTTGCGCGTGCCGTACGCGCGGAAAACTCGTCCGTTCTAGGTTGCTTGCCGTGAAGGGATGGTAGCCTAGAGTCAGATGTGGAGACCGCGCACACTTCCTAGTACCAGGAAGGTTGACTTGTATCATGACCGTAACAGTCGCCACACGCACAAGGAGACGCAAGGATCTAGGCTGACAGTCTAGCAAGATTTGTGACAACGAATGCAGATGAGAGCCACGGAACGCCACGGAGGAGAAGGACAAGACGAATTAGGTGATTGTTCATGTAAGAATCATCTTGAGAGGGTGAATGGAGAGAAGGAGAAGACATGAAAGGGTCTGTTGAGCAGGACGATAAGTACTGAGAGGACTCGGAGTAGGAACGAAGAGAGATGGGCACATGAAATCAAGGACAAACATGGTGGCACAGCAAAGTTGCGACCACGTCCTCCAAAACCACCATCAACGATGTCGCTCTCCATGGCGTTCTCGAAGAAGGAGGACGAGAGCGGATTGAGCTCTTACTACAACAATAAGACGACCATCGTCCAGGAAGCTCGCGTTTTCAACGAATCTCCCATCAGCCCTCGCAAATGTCGTAGTCTCTTGACGCGCATCGTGTACCTACTCTACGTCGGCGAGACATTCGGAACCCAGGAGGCGACGACTCTCTTCTTTGGAACTACAAAGCTCTTCCAGCACAAAGATGTACGTGTCTCAAATCCGTCCATCCCTAATATGACATCTGAGCTGGTGATGTAGGCCGCCTTGCGGCAGGCCGTATACCTGGCGATCAAAGAGCTTGCGACGACTGCTGAGGACGTGATTATGGTGACCAGCAGTATCATGAAGGATATGCAACCGAACTCGGAGGTCATCTACCGTCCCAATGCCATCCGCGCGCTCTGCCGCATCATCGACGTACGTGCTACTCGCGTCCTCCCCAAGATGGTGTTCACAGTCCATGGCAGCCCTCTATGGCTCAAGGTGTCGAGCGTTTCTTTAAGGCTGCGATGGTAGACCGTAACCCGGCCATCTCCACCGCGGCTCTGGTGTCTGCATACCATCTCTTCCCGCACGCCAAGGACGTCATCAAGCGTTGGGTGAACGAGGCACAGGAAGCCGTGAACACGAAATCAGGAGGCTATTTTGGAAACCCGGTCTCTACTTCATCTTCGTTCTTCGGTGGAAGCAGCAGCCAGAGCAGTGCTCAGACTATCGCGTCGACCAGTAATATAGCGCAGTACCATGCTCTCGGACTGCTCTACCTCATCCGCCAACAGGATCGTATGGCTGTGACCAAGATGATCCAACAGCTTGGAGGCGGTAAATCTGGATCTGGAACCACGCTGAAGAACGCGATGGCATTGTGTATGCTCATCCGGTATGCTGCGAAAGTCATGGAAGAGGATCCCAAGTTTGTTCCATCCAAAATTTCAATCGCTCCATGCTGATCAGAGCCAGTGTCCAACGGCAAATGGTCGAACTGCTCGAGGGATGGCTCAGGCACAAGAGCGACATGGTCAACTTTGAAGCTGCGCGCGTCATCTGCGACATGAGAGGCGTTACCGCTGCCCAGTTGGCCAAGCCCGTTGCAGGTCAGGCCAAAGTCACGAAAACCACTTCGATCACTGAACCCTCCTCAGTTCTGCAGCTCTTCCTCTCTTCTCCTAAACCTGTACTCAAGTTTGCTGCCACGCGTACTTTGGCTGCTCTGGCTCTATCTCACCCCGCAAGCGTGGCCACGTGCAATGTCGACTTGGAGACCCTCATTTCTGACCCTAACAGGAGTGTTGCAACGTATGCGATCACAACATTGCTCAAGGTGAATTTGTGCTCATCATTTCAAACAACTTAATGATCTCATATCCTGTATCAGACTGGTAACGAAGCCTCTGTGGACCGCCTGATCAAACAAATCTCGACATTCATGCCCGAGATCTCCGACGAGTTCAAGGTCATCATTGTGGATGCTATCCGTTCCCTCTGCCTCAAATTCCCCAGCAAACACGCTGCGATGCTTTCGTTCTTGTCCGGCATCCTCCGGGACGAAGGCGGGTACGACTTCAAGCGTGCTGTTGTCGAGGCCATATTCGATATGATCAAATCCATCCCCGAATCCAAGGAGCAGGCGCTCTCTCATCTGTGCGAGTTCATCGAGGATTGCGAATTCACCAAGTTGTCTGTCCGAATCTTGCACCTCCTTGGCATCGAGGGTCCCAAGTCTTCAAACCCGACGAAGTACATCCGGTTCATCTACAACCGGGTTGTGCTGGAGAACGCGACCGTTCGGGCCGCCGCTGTGTCTAGTCTGGCCAAGTTCGGAGTCAGCACCAGCGATGCCAAACTCAACTACAGTGTCGAAATCCTGCTCAACAGGTGTGTTTCTTTGCTCTGCCGCTTTCAGTGACTCAGTTTGCCCAGGTGCCTGGATGATGTGGACGATGAAGTTCGTGATCGAGCAGCCTTGTATGTCAAAGCTTCCAAGACGGAGAGTCTGGTGCAACCCTATCTCAAAGAGGGTGAGTCCGACATTCGTCGGCGCTCCGATGTTTGTGACTGAGTGCGCTACAGAATCCGTCTTTTCCTTGGCCACCCTCGAGGCAAAACTTGTCTCGTATGTCAAGGACCCATCGTCGTCTGCCCAGCCTTTCGATGTTTCGGGGATCCCTAAAATTAGTCGAGCCCAGGCTGCTGCTGACGCTGCCAGTGCGTTTTCCAATCATTACACATGTCTAACAGCTTTTGACCTTGCATTAGGACCAAGCTCCTTGGAGACGATCGGTGTGCCTGCTGCCCAGAAGACATCAGCAGCACCGCCTCCTCCGACAGCCGCTGAAACGCAGTCCGCCTATGTTGACCAGCTCGCTGCCGTGCCCTCATTCGCGACTTACGGTGCTGTGCTCAACAGTAGCGCCCGGCCTGTGCAGCTCACCGAGAGCGAGACGGAGTACCAAGTCACCTGCGTCAAGCACATCTTTACAGAGCATATCGTCTTCCAGGTTTGTGATTGCCGTCTAGTCAATTTATTCATCTCATTCAGTTTATTCTAGTTCAATGTGTCGAACACTCTGCCCGATACTGTTCTGGAACAGGTCACGATCAACATGCAATCTGAAGACTCGGGTCTGACACAGGACTTCATTCTCCCTATCCCTAGTCTGACGGCGGCCACTTCTCCTGGGATCTGTTATGTGTCCTTCACGCGCGACGATCCTGAAGAGTACGCCGTCGCCTCGTTCCAGTGCACACTGCAGTTCGTCAGCAAGGAACTCGACCCAACCACTGGGGAACCGGAAGAGGAGGGTTATCCGGACGAGTACCAGATCGAGGAGGTCGAGGTCAGCGCTGGTGGCGACTACATCGTTCCGTCGTATGCTTCGTTCGGCGCAGAATGGGATCGCCTCAAAGCCGGTCCAAGCGTCACGGAAACTTTTGGTTTGGGCACATCGGTGGATGGACTCAAAGGTTCGTGCTTGTCATGATTGATCGTATTTGTACACTGACCTGTCTGCAGCTGCTTGCGAGTCCATTATCGAGGTGTTGAATATGGAACCGCTAGGTGGAACGGAGATCCCCACTTCCAACTCCGTACACACCTTGCAGTTGTCAGGACTCGTCACCGGCGGCGGAGGGAAGGTGCTTGTCCGCTGCCGTATGACCTTTTCACCGGGCGTCGGGGTCACTCTCGAGCTCGGCGTCCGCGCCGAAAAACAGGACGTTTGCCAACTGGTCGTCAGTGCCGTTGGAGGTTAATCAATGCACACTTTACTCGTTACATACAGTATTTATCTGGTTTCTGCTGGAGCACACGCGAATGTTTACAAGTCAGGCATTGGCGCTGCGAATGGGTCCTCGGATTCGTCCATCTGTAATGGGCCGCCAAGAAGGGCATCTGTGCTATCAAGCTGCGTAAGGTCATGGGCTGATTCCAGTCCCAATCCGTCGGGACCAAGCACCGACATATCCAACATGCTGTCCCCGGCCAAATCGACTCCCTGGTCCATCTGCCCCATGGCGTCTTCCATCGTCTGCAGACTCGGCTCGAGATCATCATTTTCTATGCCCTCTTCGACCATCGGCTGCAACTCCATCGAGAGTTGAGGCTTGGGAGATGCAGGTTTCGACTGCGGCTCTTCCTCCACCGGCGGGGCGACTACAACTGTCGTCTCCGGCAACGCAGCTACAACGACGGGTGTGTCCTCCTGCTCGTCCTCGTCTCCCTCGACCACGTCCGCTTCGCCCTCGTCAGGTAGGGGCGCGAGCGGCTCGTCGGCCTCGCCCTCGTCGTCGCTGAAGTGCTACAGCGCAGGAAACAAGCGTGTGAGCGCGGGGAGCAGGAATGGACCAGGGGCAGCAGGGGCGTACCTGCGGTTTGGATGATCTGACCCACTTGTACACGCGTATCGTGCTGCTGCTGTTGGTGGGCGCAGTGATGTCTGCGGTGGTCCAGACTTTTTCCCAGGATTGGACGGGTTGCATGAGCTGTCTCCGTGCTGCCTCCGTGGTGGCCGTGCTGACACCTATTCTGCGTCGTGTTGACATAGTCGGTCTGAGGGAGGTACTTAGAGACAAAGTGAGATGCCAACGGAGATGAAGATGCGCGCCCACGTGACTCCATCAAATATACACAGCCGCGAAGTCCCTGCCTGAGGCCGACAACGTCAAGATTCGATGCCTCCTCCACCTAACCCACCAGAGCCTGAATGGCCACTGCCCAAATTCAACATCCGGGTCGAGGATCTCTCCCATCCCGGAGCTAATATATTCTTCGAGTCGGTGCATCCGCTAACAGCCCTGCGCATGGCTGCCACCGCGAGCTTCAAATGGCTATACGGCAGCCTCGAATTAGCGCCTACCAAGTGCGTCGGATACGAGACTCCCCGGCGGATGCGATGAACAGCACGCACAGCGTCGAGTCGATCCTGCTCGTCCTGCGCCCGATGCCGGGCGTGGCGCACACCTTCGGCTCCCGCACGGAGAAGGAGATCCACTTCTCGCTCGACCATATCGTCAACAGCGCCGCGCGCGCGAGACACGAGATTATGGGCGTGCTCGTGCACGAGGTCGTGCACTGCTATCAGTACAACGCCAAGGACACCGCCCCGGGGGGCCTCATCGAGGGTGTCGCAGGTGCGTCGTGCTGCTAGGATCTGCTGCTACAGTCACCATGCTGATCGATCCGCGTTCATGTGTATAGACTACGTCCGTCTGCATTGCGATCTGGCACCCCCTCACTGGAAGCGGTCTCCCTCCCGCGAGGATCCGTGGGACGCGGGATACCAGACGACCGCGTTCTTCCTGGACTGGATCGAGCAGAGATCACGGCCGGGCACGATACGCGATTTGAATGGAGCGCTGAAAGACGCAGAATGGGATCCTGCTCTGTTTGAACGCCTGGGAGGGGCTCCGGTCAAGAAACTCTGGGCCCAATACAAGCGCGAGGTCACCGGGGAGGAGGACGAGAGTGATGTCACTGACGAAGGCTTTACTTTGGTGTGAGTTTCATCTTGATATCCCGACAGCGGTCTTGCGCTCATGCGATACTCGCAGCCCAAGTTACAACCCGGTGTACGTGTAGACTAAGGGCAGAACTTGACACATTCAATCAAGAGATCGGTTAAGCATAGATGAGCCATAACGTTCTGATCGAGTACACTTGAGAGTCTGAACATGTGGGGTGCATTTCCAGAAAAAGAAGCTAAAATCAAGCAAAGTACAAGGTGTAGGTAGCAAAACGTGATTGGAGTGGGATTCGAACCCACGCCCTTTCGGACTAGATTGCCAATGGCAAGTTGTGCTCGCAGATGCGAGTTAATCCTTAGTCTAGCGCCTTAGACCGCTCGGCCATCCAACCGATAGCTAACGTATTTAATCACCATCAATCACCCGCTCAAGCTGGAGCGATACCGTGGCCATTTCACGACGCAGAGTCGCTGGTAGGCCTGCCACAGTCTATAGCAATTTCAGCCAAGCATGCTCCAGACTTTGAGAGCGGTCCACTATAGAGGCTGAAGTTGATGCACGGGTCGTGGGGAGACGGTTTGGTATGTGCCCTGGACTTTTGTGTCCTCGTCACTTGTAATTGTTATCAGATTTACCCTTACATCGCGTCTGTTGTTCTCTGCATGTTTCTGTCTTCCTGCTTTCCTGGCTCTGTACGTTCGTTCACTCAAAGGCTTCAAGCTGTGCGAACGGTACACAAGAGATTCTGCCAATCATCGACGAGCAAGTCACGAGGTTTGACGTTGGCCGTGACTAGAATCTCCGCCGTTGGGCCGCGGATGCCACGCGATCCCATATCAGAGATTCTCCAAGGGCAATCCTTGGCAATCCCCTCGACGTGATCAGCGAAGCAACTGTTGCGCCAAACTGTCCCGAGTCCATGCGCACAGCACAGCACTCTCTGCTCGGAGTGCCAGCTACAGCCGAGAGCGAACGAAAACCATTTCACAGAACCCCGGTTACCGGAGCGACCACATGCTGACATCCAGCTCAGTCAGTCAAATGAACAGACGGCTCGGTGGTGGCGTGCGTTCGCATGTTCGTCCACCTGCGGATCGCCGCCCGGGTCCGTCATCGGCGGCGTGAGTGCTAACAAGATTCGATAGATGAAAGTGCGATATCAATAGTACAAGCTGGTAAAACAAAATGCAAGATTCAAGCCTGCTGGAAGGGCATGAGCATCCAACCATCTACTGAGCGGACGATGAATTTGCACTTACATCATAGTTGCCCACATTGAAGCTAAGGAGTGAGGATTAGGTCCCTGCAGTCATGGACACGTGGTTCACTCACTGGACCTGGTCGCCCTCACCGAGCGTCAGACGCACAGGAAGCCGGGGATCGATGCGCACGGGCGCACTGCTGCCAACATAGAAATCGCCGCGCGTGAAATTCCGCGTGATCGCAGCGGTCTCCTCTTCCGTCAACGGGCGCGGTCGTTTTGCAGGCCGGAATGTGGCCGATGATGCACCAGTAAAGTTGCCGTTGTAGTCGTAATATTGCTGGTGCGTCAGTGTGAGACCGCCAGGCTGCGCGGGGGCGTAGCCCGGTGGCGCGCCGAACCCGCCTGTCGTCGAGGCAGACGGGGCAGACACATCTGTAATAAGCGACGCTCAGGACCGCGCTACGCCCGGGGAGAGCGGTTCATCGACGCACCAGCAGGCTGGGCCCGGTCGTGCGTCTCCGATTCGGGGTCCGGGTACGCGCAGACGTTGGCAAGTCCGCGTTTTACACAGTTCTGTATGTCAGATCCCAGCTTCGTCAGGCGGACAGCGGACTGAGAGCTCGCTTGGCACTCGCCTGACAGGGCAAAACCTCGCTACAGCGCGTTTTACCGCTGTGACACGCGACACACGCACGGCGGACTGAGGGCCCCTTCGCTGGGACTCGGTCGAACGCGTGCACAGGCGAGGACGCGAAAACGCTCACGCTTGCGCGATGTGCCCTCCCCAGGGCTCCCGATGGGCACCGAGATGCTGCCCTGCTGCACTTGTTGGATCGGATGCGGCGGAGGGGGTTGGTGCTGTTGAGCGAGCTGCTGGTGTTGATGCTGCGATAACTGCTGCAGCTGAGCATCGATTTGTGGATTTACATCCTCGGGGTGTGCCGACATTTCGGATGCGGCGGCGGCGGGCAGACGGAGGATAAACGGAGGGGGTCGTGACAGTTCCGGGTAACGGTTGTCGATCGCGTGACACTTTGCTGAGGCCAGATCAATCCCATCACCGGACCTTCCAGTCTCCGGACACTCCCACGGCCCATCTGACGCCTGGCACACGCGCCTGATCTGCACTACTTCAAGCGATCTCTATCTTTCGCGCTCTTCCACTTGATGCAACACATGCTTCCTTGTCCCACCTATGGCTCTCTCTCCTCCTCCACCGTTTCCCGACTTTGATTTTTCGTACGACTCGGCGTCGTTCCCCAATGCCCCTCCCCTGCCACCCTCAGCGGATCTCTTCTCGACAGCGGAGACGACGGACATCTTCGGATTCCTCGACAACTTTGGCGACTTTGGTGTTAGCTGGGACTTGGAACAGACGCTACCGCAGCCCCAATATCGACCGCAGCCATATTCCAACCCCCACCTCCCCGACGTCGTCCCTGACGCATCCCCGACGACGTCTGGCCGTCCGCAGCGACCGACGCGCGCATCGTCGTTACGGAAACAGCCGAAAAGAACTCCTGCCAGCGCCCCCTCCGACTTCCCATCCAGGCAGGACAGCGAGACGCCAAGCAACACATCGGAATCGTCTCGATCCCTGCCGACCCCGCCGCCGCCCTCCCACGAGCACCTGCCGTCCCACTCGGCCGCAGCCGCGTCCCCCTCCTCTGTGCGCAACACGAAGCCCCTGCTGTCGATGCCGCAAAAACGGCTCAACCACATCATGTCCGAGCAGAAGCGCCGGAACGCCATCCGCGATGGGTACTCGCAGCTGATCACGCTGCTCGCGCCGTCGGACGGCGGGCCGATGCTGGGCATGCCGCAGAGAGGCCGCCCGAAGGGCAGCGGGAACCGGAACAAGGGCAAGGGGCAGAGCAAGGGCAAGAGCGGCGTCTTGTTCCGCGCCGTCGAGTATGTGAAATGGCTCGAAGAGGGCCGCCAGGCTCTGCATGCGGAGGTGCTGCGTGTGGAGGCAGCCGCCGGACTGTGAAGCTTGGGCTTCTTCCCCCTCCGTCACTCCCCCCCTCGGTGTAGCTACATGCGGTGTGTGCCTCGGCTGTCTGCCCTTCTCTCGTCCGAGCCTGATTACGAACCGTTCAGGGGTTATCTTTATCGTCCGAACATCGCAATTGTATCAGTTAATCTTGTCACAGTCTTGGGACTTGCTGCAGTATCTATCATCCATCTCTCGACTGTTGGTCCAGTCAGAAATGAAAAACGATTGGCAACGCTGATACACGCTTGCTTGCCATCTCGAATTCAACATTCAGCGCACAAAAATTATAGACCAAATGAAGTCCTGATCACGAGTATCAATTGCAATTACGTTACGCAACGTCAAGCCTTGCAAACCGGACCGAGCGATTTTGAAACACATTTATTGATTTCCAATTATACAAAGAACGATAATCTCAATTAGCCTGAACGAGCAGCAATCAAAATCCAAAAGTCTTCGATGCTGCGGAAACCAAGCTGGGAACAGTCGGCACCTGGATTGCTCCCAAGCCGGACAGAACCTGGCCTGTGGCCGAGCCCACAGTCGCGCCAGCACTATTCAAGCCGGCCACGACCTGGCCGGTCGCCGAGCCAGACGACGGCTGCTGCTGCGGAGGAAGGGGAGGACTGCTAGCCACCGCAGCGGTGAAATCCTGCTGGTTGATCTGCTTCCAGTCAACATACACGCCCCCTGCGAGCGTAGCCGTGCCCTGGGCGAGCTGGGTCCCGCCAAGAGCCAAGCCGGGCCCGTGGGCGTCCGGAGCGTTGACGTCGTCGAAGACAGTGACGTTGAACGACGCGCCGGGCTTGAAGATGCCCTCGGGCGGATTGTTTGCGCTGGCGGGCAGAAGCGAGGTCTCGGGACGCGCGATCTCCAGGCGTACGCCGCGCGCCAGTTGGTCCGCAGTAAGCGGAGGCTGGACCTGCAGTGTAACGCGGTCGGCGGAGAGCTGCGCGTTTCGCCCGCGAAGCAGCATGTGCTCGATGTTGATCTCCTGCGGAGTACCAAAGACGTAGAACGGAATGCAAGTGTTGGAAAACTGGGCGTCGCGCCAGCGAGCGTCCAGAGGGCGGTTCTTGATCACCTGCAGGTTGGAAAGTGTGATCGAAGGGTGGCTCGAGAATGCGCTGGGGAGCCGCGTCAATTAGAAATCAGACAAAAAAGGCACTCTTGACTCACTCTCCGTCAAACACGACCTGTATGTCTTTGGCGGTAGCGATATCGTCCAACGTCATCTCATTCAGCGTCCGGCAACGATAGAGCTGCCCGGGAGAGCTGGACCGGGCCGTGGTATATAGGCTCTTGACCGTGGTGTCGAGCATATCCGCGCTGATGATCAAGTGCTTGCGGCCGTTCGCATTGTGGAACAACGGATCGCTCGTCAGGTAGATATTGTCCTGCCCAGACACGGTGAACCAGTGGATCTGAGGCTGCACCGTGGCCCGATCAAGGACCACCTTAACTTCCTGTTCGAGAATGCCCTGCACGACACTGGTGACGCTATCGATCGAGCCCAGCCCCGAAAACGTGGGCATGGTACGCAGCACGACCAGGTCTTCAGACGAGTCTGTTTCCAATCCAAGTCGTCTAAGCGGTAATGAATAAATGGCACATCACAAAAGACAACGACTCACTTCCGATAGTTGACAACACACGAATCGTACCTCTGACCCATGACGCTCGAGTCCACGCGGAATGGAATCTGTTGCGAATGAAGCTGGTTGACGAGACGGGTGCTGAGATAGCTGGCGTCCTCCACATCTGTGTTTGGTTGCCCGTTCAACATAAAGTTGCACGCGAATACGCTGATGCTCAGATCAGGCGCCAGTGCATTGGCCTCAGTCATGGCTTCCGGATTGGAGAAAATTTGGTCATCAGTCAGCCCAATGATCTGACTGCGAATGAACTGTTTCTCAGCCGCCTCTTTCGCCGAGTCGCCCTCGTTAACCAGCGGAGTAAGAGGAAGCACGATATAATCCGTCGTGTTGTCTGACATGGCTGCCCATTGGGCCGACAGCTGGTGCCTTGTCAGATGGTGGTTGCGTAGATGGACGACAAAACGTACTCTGGCTGATGCCCACGGAAGCACACTGTTCAGGGTCGGGCCGACCTCTTGAGATCCAACGAATTTGAAATATGCTTGCGCCGACATCGCTACCGGACTGTTCATTTCCGGC